GTTATGACTTATTCAAGATATTAAGGACAGATGATACAAACAATTTTTTTCTTAGAAAAAGATTAAATGTCATGTCACAAGTTTAGAAAAGTGGATGGTTCTTAGATTTTTTTTTCCGAAGAACTGGAATATGAAAAAAGATTTGGTAAATATAAGTAATATTTCAATGAAAACACAGATATAGACAAATCACTTTCAGTAAAGGTTTACAGGTGAAAATAAATTATAGAATATGTTTTCATGGCGCTAAAAGTGTAAAATAAACTTAAGAAAAATATACCGAGCCAGGTGAATTTTATTAGGAAAAGCTAAATGGTTAAAATCAGCCAATGTGATATTGCCAGTTTTTTGTAATTTCGATCTTCCTCTTAAAATTCACCTGGCTTGGTATATTTTTCTAAGGTTTATATTACACTTTTAACGCCAGAATAACATATTCTGAAATTTATTTTCACCTGTAAACCTTTACTGAATGTGATTTCTTTATATTCGTTTTTTCATTGAAATATTACTAATATTTCCCAAGTCTTTTTCATATTCTAGTTCTTAGGAGAAAAAATTCTAAGAACCATCCACATTTCTAAACTTGTGACATGATATAAAATCTTTTTCAAAGAAAACATTTGTTTGTATCATCTGTCCTTAAAATAAAAAAATTATCAGATTGACAGAAAATTTTGAAAGTACGGACCTACTAGTATCTATTTATTCACTTTATTTTTTAAAAACGTTTAGTACCCGCTAACAACGCGCACATATAAAAAAAAAGTTACGAATCATTGTATTTCTTCCTTTACATAACGAACACTTTTGATTCGATATGAAGCAGAAAATAGTTTGTAATCTTTTTTAAAAGTTAAATCAATTAGTGATATATATGCACCTCTGAATCTTATCTGATTTTTGCTGTGTGTTACACCCACTTAGTTACAGGAAGAAAATTTGATAGCAGAAACATACAGAGTTTATGAGTGGATAAGACCTTATAAAAAGACCTTTTTTCTATTTTTTCTTCAAAAGACATGGCCTTGAGTCTAACCTATGACACAACAACATACTCAAATTTTATTTCATTAACTCTAACCAAGGAAGTCTTTGGTCGAACATATCATAAATATGGCCCTTCGTACACTGGAATATGGCAGATCCTATTATTTCCTGGACTTGTTTCTGAAAGGTGTTTTGTCAAGTTTTGAAAATGAAACAAGTCGATGGTTGAAAGATCTGGCAAATACTGTTAATGTGACAAAACATTAACCTCCTGTTTATTCCGAAAATCTCAGGACGCGTGGCTTTGGACGCTGTCATGAAGAAAATGAATTTACATGTAGAAAATTCCTTTCTGGTTCCCCACCGAAACATGGCTATCAAAATGGTTACTATTCTTGTAAACCTTTCGATTTTTTGCAACAGTTTTGTTTTCTAAAATTCAGAAATTGAACGGCCTCCTATATAAGAATCTGAACATTAACACCACTCTACTATTGGAGAAAATGGCTTTTAACTTTCTTTGTGCTCTTGCAATTCTTCACTCTTCTCAAACAGCAGTTCCTGACGGGAAGTTAAGATGTGTTTTGAAGTCACCTTTGAAAAAAATACTTTTATCGGATATATCTAATTATGAAGAGAATTCAAACCCGAGTATTTTTTTCAATTACTAGAATCCTAAGTCATGATATATCTTTTAAAAATCAAGGAATTAATTGAATATAATCCATAGTAATTTTTATATTAATATGCATATATACAGAATAAAGGAAAATAAAATATTTTTAAAGATTTTTTTAAAAAGGGGGTTTAGTAATAAGGGCTGGAATATTGCCTGTGCACACTTTGTTGTGGAAAAAATGCTCGGGTTTGTTCTTCACGAGTTTGTAAGCGATAAATTTAATTTATCGAAGGTGACTTCACGCAATGTCAACAAATGTCAAACAAGAGGCCCAGGGGCCACAGCGCTCACCTGAGCACATCAGCTAGAAAAAAACGCATATCAGATCAGACCTGAAAGTTAACTTAAGTTGGGGGGGGGGGCTTGAATTTTAACCCCCAAGGGGATCATAATTTGAACGAACTAGAATCTACATTACCTGAGGATGATTCCATACAAATATAACTAATCCTGGCTTTGAAGTACTTGAAAAGAAGATTTAAAAAGGTTTCTCTATATATTTCTATGTAAAACTTTGGTCGGCCATTTTGGCCACACCCTTACCCCGTGGTCATGACTTGAACAAACTTGAATCTACACTACCTGAGGATAATTTCACATGAGTTTCATCTTTCCTGTTTCAATGGTTCTTGAGAAGAAGATTTTTAAAGATTTTTCCTATATATTCCTATGTAAAACTTTGATCGGCCATTTTGGCCCCCCCCCGACCCCCGGGGGTCATGACTTGAACAAACTTGAGTCTACACTACCTGAGGATGATTCCACATGAGTTTCATCTTTCCTGGCCCAGTGGTTCTTGAGAAGAAGATTTTTAAAGATTTTTCCTATATATTCTTATGTAAAAATTTGATCGGCCATTTTGGCCCCGCCCTACCCCCGGGGGTCATGACTTGAACAAACTTGAATCTACACTACCTGAGGATGATTCCACACGAGTTTCATCTTTCCTGGCCCAGTGGTTCTTGAGAAGAAGATTTTTAAAGATTTTTCCTATATATTCCTATGTAAAACTTTGATCGGCCATTTTGGCCTCGCCCTACCCCCGGGGGTCATGACTTGAACAAACTTGAATCTACACTACCTGAGGATGATTCCACGTGAGTTTCATCTTTCCTGGCCCAGTGGTTCTTGAGAAGAAGATTTTTTTAAAATGCCAATAATTTTTCTCTAATTTATGATTATCTCCCCTTGGAAAAGGGCGTGGCCTTTCTTTAGAACAAATTTGAATCCCCTTCACCCAAGGATACTTTGTGGCAAGTTTGGTTGAAATTGGCCCAGTGGTTCTTGAGAAGAAAATGAAAATGTGAAAAGTTAACGACAACAACGACGACGACGACAGACAACGGACAAATTCTGATCAGAAAAGCTCACTTGAGCCTTCGGCTCAGGTGAGCTAAAAACGATTATTTATTGTGTAACATGTACCTAACAAAAATTATTTTTTCAACTCTTTTGAATTTTGATATCTTTAAAAAGAAAAAGACTTTGGGGATATAATTTGACAAAAGTTGAAATAATTTATGGACAATTATTTTTCAAGAAGAAAAACGAATATATTTTTTAGCGCTTAGAATCGGACCAAGCGGCTTTCAGTATGGAATTTCCAAAATCTCGATCTCGGAGACAGATCTTGGAGCTAGCATGGCGGGAAAAATTAATTATCAAAACTTTCAACGTCTTTCGGAACTTTCGGCCCCAAAAATACCCATTCTGTCAGTGATCAGGAATGGGTATTAACTTGGATCACCTATCCTGTCAGTTATCAGGGATGGGGGCTCCTTTCTGTATTGAAACACCCATTTTGAGCACTCCCAGAAATCCTTTGTATCCTTGAGCTCTTTCCAAAATTCTGTACTTAAGTGCTACATGTAATGTAGCACTTAATCTCTAAATAAAGTAAACTTTTGAAATATCTTGATTTTTTTTTTTGTTTTGTTATTATTTTATTTAATTCCATACGATGTTGGAGCGACACAGTTACATGGATGAAACTCACCAAGTTCAGCCGAAAAATTCTAGATGGTGTCTATTGTCATAGAAACAACGGAAATACCCAATATTAAATCTTACTTTCTCTCCGTATTACGCCAATCTTTTTTTTTTTAATTGTTAAGGGTATTTCGCCATTTCGAACTGATTTCTGCAATCAAAGAAGTAGGATCGATTTGACAAACATTACAGTATCAATATCCTAGGCTGTGAGAAACTGCAAAAATATTTCAAACTACTTTACATGAATTGTTTTTATCTCTACAATATTTCCAAAATAGTTGCAGATGGGGACAATTTTGCATTTTTCCCCCCAGATTTTGACAAAAAAGTTCTCTGCTTTTAACTTCAAAATTGCACCAAGAGGGTTTAGTTCGGGAGTGGTAAACATAAATGCTGTTCATACTCAGTAATACAAGTACATGTAATTTAAAGTTAAGTTTAAAAGGACTTTTGATCATATGGCCGAGTCCCACCAGTAATCCTAGTTTTGATAGGATTATCATCATGCAGAGTTTGCCAAGTAAATTAAAAGTTCTCCTAGCTTTTTAATATTTGAGCATCTTTCTTTCAACCTGGAAAATGGACCCTACACCTGGGTGTCATACACATACTAGTATTTCATAATGGGTAATGAGCTATCATTTTAATGCAAATGCAGTATAGTTGACTAGTTAGATATCATTGAAAGAAGACTTTGTATGACAGTTATAATTGAGATAGTTTCAATCCCAGTTAAATCAAAAACTGGTTGACAAGAACCACAAAATTAACTTGATCTCCTTTCTAATGAAAGAATCTTCAAATCACAGCCATTTCCTAAATATTCTTCGAAATTGAGATAAACACAGTGTGTGACAGATGGTCAGACAGCAGAATGGAATTGATTGGTAGACAGACTCGATAAACACTACATGAGAAATATATACATGCAGTGGTCTAACATAACAGATTCACTAACTTCCAAACTTACCCGTATATAAATTTAAAGTTTCTTCAAGAATCTGTGTGTCGCAGTGGTTAGAGTGTCTGCTCTAGAGTTGCAAAGTAAGGAGTTGATCCTTACATCGCGGGTTCGAATCCCACTGCGGGATACTAGTATGTGGAGTCCGGAACTTTGGATAAGACCGAATAAACCGAGGCCCTGTGTCGCAGAAAGTGCTGCCACGAAAAAGATCCCTCCCTGCTTAATGGCCCTGAGTGCCGAGTCTAGGACAAAATTTGTAGCTATCCATCAGAAAGTGGTTGTGTCTCCATTTGAGTGAACAATTCTCGAGAGGGACGTTAAACAACATACAATCAATCTTCTCTTCAAAAATAATAACAAAGACACAATATTATATATAAGCTTGGCTTTATTGTGCTTCAGATTTATTAACTATTCTATAAAGCTTTATAAAAAGACACAGATTGTTCAAGATTCAACTCTCCTAGCACTTTATATCAACTAACAACTTTACAACAGTTGTATCAAGAGAAATGAAAAAAAGCCATGTTTAATACATGTATATTGCTTCATATGAGGAAATTTGTGTGTATATAATGCCATAACTATATGACTATCAAGTTGTATACGTACATCAAAAAAGTTACAATAATTATTAATGATTTGAAAGGTATGAAGTAATTCTTTACTTATTTTTGAGATTTTAAGTACTTATTCACCTTTGTTTCCAGATGGGAAGCATTATTTGAACACATCCAGGTCTCAGCATAATTAAACAGTATACAGATAAAAATTTGAAAAAAAAATCAAGTGTAATGGCATCACAAAATTAATACTACAGTGTACTAATAATAATAATTAAAGAGCAATTTCTATAAATCTAAAGAATTGATGTATTGTTCCAGTATGCTATAGATTGAGGCACACTTTTATTCATCAAAATGTTAATTTACAAAAGATCAGTAATTGAAAACAAATTGCAAAACTGCAGCACATAAATGCACATGTAAAAATGGGAATATCTTTCACAAATATTTTTATGCCAAAATTGGTAAACTTGCTAAATGACTAGTGTAAAAATAGTGGGATATCCAGAATCATATGAAGAATGGTCTTTAACAAGATGTACTGAATTTGTGGCTATACATACAAAACAGTGATTGCACTAAGACAAAGGAACGGATTTTGTAGACTTCTACCAAGCTCAAAAAATAAAAGTATTCTAAACATCAACACAACACATCTCTCTTAAACAGCGTTCCAATTTAAAAAAACTAAAATAAAATGATTTCTATTTTCAGTGTGAAGTTCATACTTTTAATAGATTCCTACATTGCTCTGTCCCTTGGTTCAATGATCAGTACAGTAACAATAAAAATACTACATGTATACAATACATTAAAGCACTTGTTTAACAAGCTATAAAATTTTTAACAAAATAGATATCAGCCTAGCAAAAAAATAATAAATGAAATAAACGATGCAACTTAACATCTACAACAAGAAAATGAAAACAAGAATTGATCCCCCAAAATAAAATGATAATGCAGTAATATCTATCATCAATAAATGTGTAAAATGTGATGGTTCACAGATATGATAATGGTAAATTTGTTTAAAAATACAATATCATATTTTCTAGATTTCAATCAGTCATATCAGCTTTTTGACTTGATAACCATGAACTGCACTTAAGGCATCAATTTCAACACAAACATAAATGTCATGTACATGCATATTGATTTCAAAAGCTATTCTAAAAACTGAGAAAGAAATATATTACATACACATTTGTTAAAGCAGGTGTACTAATCATTATGCTTGCAAAAAAAAAATTGATTAACATAAATAATCACAAGGAAAAAAAAATTAATATTCTATAATTCATTAACACATATCTAACTAAATCGCATATTCAAGCAGTGTTGCATAACTAGTTTTATCGCCGCCAAAGTTGGCATTCAAGGTGAACTTGATTCCTTTACCGTAGTAAGGTGCCAGATTGACCTCCCCTTGCCAAATTCCTGACTGCGGAGACTGAAGATGGGTCCACTCCTGGTCAGTCACCACGGCAACGGCCTCGGCCCGTGGAATCTGAACGTGGAAGTTGACGACGGGTTTTCCGATATCTTTGTGGACCACCAGAGGTTCCCACATGTAGCATCCTTCCTTCCACTGAGCGTACTGCTTGGGGAAAGGATAGACCTCTTTAGTTTTCCTCTGGCAGTTGATTAGATAATTGTAAACCCCTGGTAGTTGTTGGTTGGGGTCATTAATGGGGATGGCATAGAGTTGTAACTTGTAGAACCCTACAGTTGGCATGTTAACCAGGAAACTAACCACAGAGCCTTTCGTCTGGGTGAAAACAAATTCGGGCATCTCTCGGTCACTTTCAACTTCTATCAGATTGGCCGTTACTCTCATTTCCTGGGCAGTTGAAAACTGAATTTCTACAGAGTTGGTTTCAAGGTGAATGACTGGGATATGATGACTCAATGTATTCAGGCCAAAGTCATTGAATTTAGGTTGTGCTCCTAAGTAACCTGCAGGCAGCTTGGGTAGAGGAACGGTTTTCACATCTTCATTACATTCCACCAGATACTGAGCCACATGGTACAGAGTTGAACCTTCCGTTGCTGGGTCATTGGCGTAAATTTCTAGTCCGAATTCACCACGACTTGGAGCAGTGATGTTAAAATACACAGTGTTTCCAACAATTCTATGAATCACATAGCCTTCAAGGTCGGCATCACTACGATCATTGTGTTTTAATTTTGCCATGAACTGCATCTGCCGGGGAATTCGGATCTGTAATTCGGCCTTTCCATCCCTTGTCAGAATCTGAGCCGTTTGCTGGTAGGTGGCCAGACCGTACCTGTAGAAAGACGTGCCAGGACCCCAGTTAAGGTAAGCACAGGGTGGGAAGGGGAGGGGCTCAGGTACTGAAACCTCTTCTTGGACAATTTTGTATTCACAGACTTGAGCGTAAACATTATCTTTATTTTCTGGTGTGTCTTCTTTGGCGTAGATGTAGAGAATGTAAGATCCCTTCACTGGTAGCCTGAGGCGGAAGGAAGCAATGCCCCCAACGCTCTCCTGCATACCAAACCGATTCAGTTTCGCCCCTTTGTACTCTTCATCACCATTCTCGAATTGCACAGTGAAGTTGAAGGCCACAGCCAGCTTGTGAGCGGGGTACCTCAATCGGACATTCAATTCCCCACGTCCATAAATCACTGCCGTACGGTGACTCACAAACTCTAGTCCATATTTGAAAAATTGGGGTTTCATGTGGGGCATGTTCTCGAATTCCTCTAGGGTGATGGGCCTTTCCAAAAGCTGCCACTGGGGGTCGTCTGGGAAGTGGGTATAAATAAGCTGGTGGGGGTCGGGGAGGAAGAAGTATTCGTCCAGCTGGTAATGAAACTCCTCTTGGGAGGTGGGTTTTCCGATGATTCTCCTGGCAGCCCAGTGAGCGTCCACCAGACACCAGGTACCGTAGATGTACACCGCGTTCCAGGAGTGCTGGTTCGTACCGGGGGTGAACTTCATGCCTGGTTTGTAGTCGGCCCCTTTAGCATAACCACTGATGATTCTGGAGTGCAATCCTGCGAAACTAGAAAACAAAATAATATTATTTGCATTTATTTAATCAGAATGAAGAAGTTCTCAGTCTTATTTTAAAATTAAGCTCAAAGTTACTCTCAGCCAACAATGGTTCTAATTCTCTGTTCATATTAAGAGCATCATTCTATAAAATATTTTATATTCAACAATGCAGTATGAAGGATGAAAAATGTTAATCTTACTGATGTAAAAATGGATTCTTATGATAGAGACATCTCAAATGAAGTGAGATGACATATGTGAAAAAGTGTTAAACTTACTTGCATAAAGTATCAAATACCTTTGCGTATGTGTTTTAACTTACTTGCACATTGTATCAAACACCATTGCATATGTGGTTTTGCCCTCTTTGAGTCCCAGCAATACCTCTTCAGGACTTCCTTTCTCCACCTTGTCAAAGTTGATCTCCTTTAGATTCTTTGTGGCTAACCATCGGAAAATGACTCTGCAATATCAAACCAATACAGTGTTGGTACAGAAAAAACACCATTAAAAGGATAAAGATTGGCCTATTCTTAGCCATAATGAGGTAATGAGGTGTACTTATTTTTAGGAACAATTTCTAAACAATATATAAATACCACTAAAAAGATTTTATTTCGACCATTAAAGCAAAGGTTCTTATTAATAATGTTAATAAATGAACATATCTTCCACCTAGAGTAAAATTTCCTGTGAAATCTAGATATGTGTTAACTAGTTTACATGTATTTATTTCTCCTGAAGAGGTACAGACTGAACCAATCCATTTGCAAAATGGCTGCCTTTTTTTCTTTTCTACCTCTTAGTCATTCAATCTGTTCAATGCTTTGCTGATATCGCAGAACTCATTCTACATTTGTCTGCTCATACTTTTCAGGAGATTGTTATAATTTTGCATTTCCACTGTGAATAATAATATAAATTTTGATGGAAGAAGCACCTTTACTTCAGTCTGACAGTTGGTGAGCCTACCTGACTTTTTCTATTTCATTTGTAATGTCTTTGGAAAAGATCAAATCCCAGACCAATTCCCTGAAACTGGGATGTTCACTTTTGGATACCTGTTTATAAACAGAACAGAACATTTTAAAATACTGCATCATGTACTATAGATTCCAAAACATAATGAATTCATTATCCCTTAATTTGCGAGAAGCATACTTTGCAAAAAAAAAAAAAAATTGCTCGTTTATATTTCTATTTCGCTGGAATTTTTTTAAAAACTTCTTGATCAGTTGTCCATTTATGAATTCACACTCCCATGTAGAATTTACATACAGAAGTCATTTATTACCCTACCTGTATGGCGTGATCGTCCACTGTGTGTAGCACCTGCCGGTCGATCTGGTCCAGGCTGGGTTTCTGGCTGGCTGGGGTGGTAGAGGGCGCCACCGGTGGGGGAGCCTTCTCTTGTTCTGTCCTTACGGGAACCAGTTTAAATGTGGAGGGGGCGGTCGGAGGCTGCTGTCCAACGGAACGCTTCTCAACCTTTAGAGAGAGAAAGATAAATTCTATTTTTACAATGGACCTCTCTTTTTATAACATTGAGTGAAATGTACTCACAATAGTACACATAGAAATACTTTTATAGAATGAATACTGAAACATTTTATATACAAAACACTTCTTAATTAATACAGAAAATTTAAAGACAAGTTTTATATTTCTTCATGAAAAGGTCACTAAATTTCCTGGTTTTTACTTCAATGCATGGTCCAAAATAATTTTAAAACTCATTAACATAAAACATTTCCTTATACTAACATAACATATTACCAACTAAAACCTACCTGTATTGGCTTGCTGGGTGGGATATTGCTTATCCCTGCCTTCTGGGGTGGAGGCATGGGCACGTTCCCAGTCCCTGGGGTAAAGCCGTGAGAAGCCTGACCCTGGGGGTGGGCGAACTGGCTGTACACCCCCTGCTGCCTGCTGTCTGGGACCGTCCCGTACAGGTACTGCTGCTGTAGGAGCTCGGGGGGAGGGGGAGGGAGGTTCTCAAGGTCAATCTCTCCCCCATACCCTGGTCCCCCCATGTTCATGTTAGCCATGTTCTGGTTCAACTGAAAATATAAAACAGAAATATATATATTCATGTATGTAAAAAATGCATGCATCAACATTGAAAATCATTTAATTATTAGTTATTACTTAGTTAAATGTACAGTTTTTTCATACTTAATAAACAAACAAAAGAATTCAGAGCTATTGCCACACTATTAGGAGTTATAGAAGTTCCCCACAAATTATTTACTGATGTTCATGCAGTTACTGAGTACTAGCTGTCTACATAATCAATCTCATATATCCCACAAATAATTAATTTCAACAAACCAGTAGCGCAAGAGGAAATTAAATGGAACCTGATCAGCCATTTACTAATGACAAATTAAGAAACTTCCTCTAGCATTAAACACATCTTCCTACACAGGTTTGAAGTTTAAAATAAAGAATGGCCACACACACCCCATTCATGTCCTGTGAAGCTTTTTATTTCCCAAACTAAGGAAAGATTTGAACCCTATCTACCGGGTTAAATACAAAACAACAATGAATTTCAACTGTTCAGAATGCACAAAATCCCCTAACAAAGTGGAGGATATTTTAATGGCATTAAATAATCTGGACATGATATTTTATCTTCAAAGGAAATGTTATACTTTATGGGTCAGTGAATTTTTTAGTAAATATTTACTGAACTATTAACACAGTCATAAATACACAATAAAAAAAATAGCAAGACAATGTGTCATATAAGTTGAATAGCAAGTAATTGGATATCCTTTAAGTATTCTGTTGTTTCTCAACACCTGTTTTAAATGTTTGACTTTAAATACATAAATTTTGTAAAAATGGAGTTTCTGAACTTTCAATATAAGTTTTATACTTAATTAAATTTTTACCATCATAAAGCATTATAAAATGCAGTGCTCCCTTAAAAGGATCATTGGCCTGTAACACTAACCTGTAAATCAGGAAGGTGTTTCATCATCAAAACGGGGTGGGGGGATCGATATAGGGGGAATTTTTTAAGACATTCACATTTTTTTAGATTATAATAATAGTTGAATTTGCACAGATTTGTCAGTTAAGTATGTACACTTGGTTGAACATATAAAAATAAAAAATATGTCCAAACTTTAACAGAGAGAGAGAGAGAGAAAGAGAGAGAGAGAGAGAGTGTGTGTGTCATGCATATACTTTTCCAAATCTCTTACCTGCTTAACCTCCATTTACCTTACATTCCACTTTTTTCTTTATTTTACAAGAAAGGGAAAAAGGAAACAATATGTTTTGTAAACAAGGAAATCGTCTTGTAAACTATAGTGTTAACATTCCTTTTAGTACCATAAACTTATTTATATCTAACAGTTGTGTCTCTGTTCCTGTGTATAGATTGAGGGGATATCCTGCCCACTTGATGTTTGAAAAAATTTTAAACTCTCTTTATATACAGTAATGTACATAAGTATGTACTTGGTAGTTTTTATGCCTTATAGTATATTAAATGCACCTCAAAAAATATCTTCTTAATTTTAACGATGAAAGTGAGCTTACTTGTAATTGCTTGATATTATACAGTTAATTCTCGATAAACCGCCACCTTTTGTAATTTAGAAATCATGGCGGTATAACGAATTTGGCGATGAATTGAATTTCCCATCTTTTAGGAAACAAGAAGTAGAGTTACCGTTCTTAGAAATACCATAAAGTGTTTCTATTCTTATAAGTACATGTACATGTATATAAAAGATATTTCTAAATTTTAAAATACTTTAAATAATTTTTTATGTACAATTCCTTTAAAACAAAATGTGCAGTTATGAAAAAAGACAAGTACATGTGCATCTATGTACATGTAAATCTGCACGTCTGATATTGAAAAAAAAAAACATGCTGGGTCGATCGTCGTGATATATTGCTGACAGTACGTAAAATGGTTTCTTGAATAAATTTATTGTTTATTGTTTATGACATCATTATTAGTGAAACGTTCACAATTTATACCGTATAATTATTTTTAAGCAAACTTTGCATTGTTCAAAGCAGATATCATCAAAATAATATCGTATTCGGCGTACTTTCACAACTACCCTTTCGTGGCGAAGACTAAATGATTTTTTAAACAAAACAACAGAACGACATCATTGTAACAGTTCATATTAAAAATTTTTGTTCATTTAATTCTAATTTAATTATTTAATTGCGTGTACCTTGACTGGCTTTGCATGCTTGACAAAGCGTCAACCAATTAGCCGCGCTTCACTGACCGCATGCACCTGTGGCGGTATATCGAGATAATTGACACTTAAAAATGGACGTTTGTTTTGAAAACAGGGTGGCGGATGGCGGTATGCGAATTTGGCGTTATAAAGAGAATTTTATATAGCAGGAAAAACGTTCTTAGGAAATCATGGCGGTATTGCGAAAATGGCGATGAATCGAATGGCGATAATTCGAGAATTGACTGTACTTTTAAAATATAAACCAGAACTGGTACATTGCCCTTGAATTGTTAGCCTTGAACTGTACAAACAGCTGCCTGCTACAAAACTTATCTCTGTGTTATATCATCAAAATGTACCGGTATGTGTAATATCATCAAAATCTACATAAATTGCAGCAGGATAAAAAAAAAATTACATCAGAGAACACAGCTTTTCTTTACTTGGCAGATATAACATTTAGTAATAATTACTGTTGAATAAAGTTGCTTTAAAATTCCTGAGTTCATTAACACGTAAAAATGATTATTTTTAATATAAGTGAAAAGTTAATAAAGTGCCGCGCCACAGCATGATACGCCCGTCAAAAAATTACAATTTTCTTGAACAGTTTAGGTGCAAGGAAATCACATCAACCTTGATTCTAAGATTTCGATGATTTTTCCATTCCTTAAAATATTTATCCATCCCCTGTGATGTAGGCATCAATTATAATAAATATTACATCACTGATAGATTTCTGTGCTGGTTGTGTTAGACCTTGTCAAATGCCCATCATCAAATTTGTCTTAACAACTTAATCTATACCAAATTAATTTTGAAAAGAAAAGGCTGGCCATCAAATGACATGTTATAAACTGACCAGCAGTTCTTCTGTCTAATCCCCAAAGGGTACAGATAAGGTCACTGCTTAATCAGAGCGACTGAGACAGCTAGCCTTCCTACATTGAACTCATTAATTAATCTTTAACTGGATGCTTGTCTACTCATTACTACCAAGAGATGAATGGGTCTGCACTATCTACTATAAATTTAATAAAATACTCAAAGATTTTTTTTTTTGGTTGAGATTTAATGTCCGACAGGTTTTAATATGTAATTCATATGGACATGCTGATTCCACCCTACCCCAAAAAATTAGTTTTTAAATTAATAATATTACATACTATCAGATTAGTCTATTATGCAATATCAAATTAGTTTTCATTACTTTTCATCAAATTCATTTTAAAACTTAAGCTAGTCAACAAGAGCTATTTTTAATCAAACAGGCTTACCCATTTGCCCAATACACAAGGGATATAGATAACACCAATGCTAGCTCCTCGCACTCAAAACCCATTAATTTCTCTCTAATTTGACATGCAATTTTCTGTTATCAAAATTCTTCTTGACCAGTGCTTGATAATTACACTCATGGGAGAGACAGGATTTCTCTGACATACATTATATTTGTTATAGATTGCTGTCAAGTATATGCTTAAAAAAAATAAGTATTTTCTTGATTTAACACTTTTTTAATAAGAACAGTGCAATACTCTTACATTATTTGGGATGTGTAAATGAATAGTAAAAAGACACATTTTTTAAAAAAATTCACTTAAATTAAAGGTCACAGTGACCTTGAAATAGGTCGCGACACACCTTCTACCTAAGATGCATAAACTGGCCAAGTTTGATGATTGTAGGTCTTATGGTTTTCTAGTTATGAGCCGGAAAGGATTTTTCCATATTTGGCTATAACTTCTTAAATAAAGGTCAGAGCGACCTACTTTTTGTGCGCGACACACCTTCTATCCAAGATGCATCAGATGACAAAGTTTGATAATCCTAGGCCTAGTAGTATTAAAGTTATGAGCCGGAAACGAAAAAGCTAACAGACAGACGGACAGACAGACAGACGGACAGACGGACGGACACGAAGCCTATAACATAATACGTCCCGTCTTAAGACGGGCGTATAAAAAGGGAAAGCTATAATCATATTGTAACAAAGAAGGGTTTTAATATGAAGTCACTTTGGATACTGTGTTTGATAAATGTAACAGATAAGGCCTTTAAATACTGAGAAACTATATAAAATAAATCATTACATGTATCATATGTGTTACATTGTAGAAAATTATAATTATCATAATAATGTATATGCATATATACACCTCAGTCTGTTACTTTGTAGAATATGATATACATTGTAAATGTGTACATATAATGATTCAGTCTGTATACTCAGCTGTTACTATATTTGCTATTACCTTGTGTCTAGTTGTATTTATTGCCTTGTTTATGGCTGTATTTATGGCATGTAAGAGTAGCTTGCATGTAAATGGAAAAAATATTGTTCACAGATGTATAAACAACATTTAACACTATTTACAGAAATTTTCAAATTCTACGACACCCCATTTCTCTGGTACATGTAATACATCCAGTTCTGAATATATGTACTATCGTTTAATTAGATCTTTGTTAGTAAAGTTAAGCTGGTAGTTAAAATGTTTTAATTAAACAGATTAATTCCTAAAAGGTATTTGATCATATCTGCTCCACAAAAGCTAGATAAACTCTTTTTTTTCATATAATGACTTACCCCAGTGTTATCTGGAGAGTAGCCATTGGTGATGTAAGCTTGCTGCGCAGGTGGTACCTGGTGGCGCTTAGGTGCCTCCTGATAAAAGGCCTTAGCCTGGTCTTGTGGTGGGGCAAAGTGGACAAAGTACTGACAAATGTGGGTGTAGGTGTCGCCATCTTTGGCTGGATCATTGCCGTAAATTTCCAGACCGTATTCTCCGGGCATGGGCAGATTGGCTGTCACCACGATATTATCTCCCTTCTCCTGGTCCGCCACACACCTCTCCAAATCCTCGTCTCTCATTCCGTCCTTTCGGAGTTTACAGAGAATGTAGGCTGGTTTGTTTTTCTTGAATTCCATCTGGACTTTGCCATCTGTGGTGGTGATAATGGCATCCTTCTGGGACGGTTCCAGGCCCAGCTGGTCCACTGGAATCCCCGGACCCCAGTTACTGTCGGAACAGTTGGGGAGAGGCACTGCGTCAGAGGCGGTGGTGTCTGCAATGATTTTATACTCCGCGGAAGCGGTAAAGACATTCTTCACCCCTATATCCCCCGTCAGCAGTTGGGCAAAGATGGTGAAGTAGTAGGGCCCCGACTTTGGTGCTCTGAGGATAAAAGTGACTTCATTATAAGACGTCTCCTGCAAGGCGTAACTCTTCAGCTTGTGCCCTTTGTAGGTTTCTTCACCGTTTTCAGCAAAGACGATCTTGTAGGTGAAATTAGTGGGTTTGACAAACCCGACCGTGATGGCGATTTTTCCCTTCTGGGTGGGTACCACTCCCTTTTGGTGGGACATGAAGTACATCCCACACTTGAAGAAGTAGGACTTGACCAGAGGGAGATCCTCGAATTCTGCCAGACTGAGGGGTCGGGACAGGAGCTGCCATTTCTCCCGCTGGGACCAGTGACTGTAAATCAACTGCTCGGGGTCAGTCATGAAGTAGAAGTCGTCGTATTCATACACCTAAAAAGATATATCAACATTTTACTCATCTCTCCTGAAAAAAGTGACAAAATATAGTTCCTATGTTTGCTAATTTTTAAAAATCAAATGCAATTGTGCACAGGCTTTTTTCTCTCTTAGATTTCACTTTATGCAGCAATTGTGCCCAATGCCAGCAACTTAAAAACTTTGAAAGCATAAGAAGCTCATTTAAAAAAATAAACTGAGAAAATTATGCGTTTTTCTTTTCTTTCAGAGAATGCAAAAAGAACAACATGAAAGGGTGCCTCAGAAAAAACTATATATACACACTGTGGTTTCATCACTTATGATACTGGGTTTGTTATTCATTATATGTAATATAGTACATACTATTTCAGTATAAGTAATTAAATTACACTGTAATTACTTTAATTAAGGTTAAGCCAATATTCTACACAAACAATTAAGTGTTTCAGACTTTAGAGTAAATAGGGATTTCCTATAATGCATTCACAGATTAACATTCAGAGTTGATTCATTCTTAATGACAGTCACTGTTGATGCACACATTTAACATTTTTAATAGAAAATATTTTTTTTCTGCATAAATGATTTCCTCCAAACATTCCACAATCAAAGTTCCCGCTAAATCATGCACTGCTTTCATTATTCAATTATTTAATTAATGAAAAATCATTCCTGGTTTCTGAAGCAAGAACAATTATAAGTTTCAATCAACATGTTTTGAAACAAACTGTAGACTGATTCATTTAATTTCTAAACAATTTAAGTCATGCAGAACACGGAAATATAGACAGTGTAAACATGGAAATTTTCTGTGTGTTATTTGGTAAATACTGTATGTAAACCAATAGAAAGGACTTGTTATGTAGTTGTAAATTTGGATGAAAATTTCTTTCTAAACATCTCCTTGTGTAAATTATCTTCATAAATTATCTTGGACTGTGAAAAATTATCTCAATGTGTAAATTATCTTGGACTGTGTAAATTATCTCTTTTGTAAATTATCTCCATTAATTATTACTTCCCTTTTAAAAATATCTCAATGTGTATGAATTTTACCAATATGTAATTTTCCACGTTTACACTTATGAACAGCTGTCCTGACATGCACTAATGAGTTGGAATATCTAGATGTTAGTGAGAAACTAAGCCTGGAACCAGTCTGCTTTTGAAACATTTTTTATTTTGGCTGGGGTATCACAAAACTTGTTCTAATTCCCAGCCATGAGACTTACCGCCACGGTACGCTGAGAGGCCTAAAATAACAAGCTGGACCTTCTCATCATATGATCACGAATATTCGTATATACTGTAAACCAACTTTTATTCGTGTGCGAAAATTTATCGTGAGGTTTGCAAGAGCCTCGAATTTACCAACATTTCTCGCTGCAAACCGGTCCTTAAAGTATCTTTGTCTTTTAACAGCAGATCCAAAAAAGGCTTGATCGCGAAAGTTAATCGTCACAAACTAGTTTACTCCTGGTAGATTGTGAAATAAAGTTGGTTTACAGTATTGAAAATTTCTAAGCTTAGGCCAGATAAAATTAATCTTTAGATTCTCATCCCCGCCCGCCCCTCTCAAAGTGTCCCGCCCCGATGTTTTTTATTTTGATTTTTTGGGTGTTAAAAGTATTTTCATGTATTTTTAATTCAGCAAGAATTTTGGTCAAAGTTTAAGAGTTATCTCCCGTCTGTATTAAAAGTCGTGTGTCGCAATTTATAGCAAAAGAGCCATGTGAAGAATGGCGAAAAATCGGCGAAAAAAAGCAGTTTAAATACTACTATGTAAGGAAAAGATATTTTATCAGTGTAGAGAAGGCAGAGAAGAAAAAAGAGCACAAACACATCTAGATACCATCACTGGCATGAGCAAATTTTTAGAGAGATTTTAACATAGTAAAAATAGACGAGGAAAATGACACCTGATCAAGTTAAACGATCTCCTGCTGTGTACATGTGTGATTTTTTTTTTTTTTTTTTTTTTTTTTTTGGAAAAAAGGAAAAAAGAACATTGTAGGCAGACTTTAGAGAATGTTAAGTACTAAGAAAATGTTAAATCTTAAAACTATTCAGGCCTAAGTTTTTCAGTAGAATATTTTATTAGAATATACGAATTTTTATGATTATGACCTATTTTAATGTTGAACATTTCAAGTCTCGAGAACGATCAATTTTTTAGGAAGGTGGAGATCTTTGATATTTTACAGAAAACAGGGAGATTTGTTGGTAAAACTAAAAGGTATTTGGGGAAGTGGGGAATTGTGCATACACAATTGATTGCTATCCGTCAATAATCCCCACCTCATTTTGTTTGGCGTGTGCCGTATAAATTTGTGTACTTGATAATTTGTTAATTAACAATAAATATTTAATTTTTTAAATCAAGAATCTTCTTTAAATATTTAAAAGAATATGAAAAGAATAAAATCTATTCATATTGGCATTAACTTAATAAAAAAAAATGTGCACGAAGAGTCCATGTTTTGTTGATAGTTACAATTTAACAATTATAAAAAATAAAAAATAAAATCCGCCCACCCGCCCCAATTTTTTTAGCAAATTAGGATGAGAATCTAAAGATTAATTTTATATGGCCTTATATTGATATTCTTAATCATGAGTTTCTTCCAACAAACACAATTACAATTGATTACCACTCTCAAAGCAACTTTATTTTATAATATATTTCCCCAAACCTAAATTCAAACTTTTCCCATCATTTATCAAATAGATTAAGAGAGGATAACTCTTAAAGCTGTAATTATCTACACACCAGATTTTCGGGCATGTTTTTCTCGGAGATGAGATATCGTGTGGCCCAGTGTGAGTCCACAAGGTACCAGTTGTTGTCTATGTACACTGCATTCCAGCTGTGGTTGTATTCCGTCCCCTTGAACTTGTCCCCTGGTCGGTAGTCCAAACCTTTAGCAAATCCAGTCAGCACGGTACAAAACAGGCCAGCATGCCTGTAAAAAAAAATCCACAAGTTAGAGTTATCTCTCTTTGTATTAATTTCATATTTTCAGTACCACTTCATTGTCATCCTATTTCATCTGGAGATAAATATAATATCCTTGAGTACTTAAATTTATGAATGAAGGGCTATAGACACATAGATGCATGAACCTTAAAAAAAATGTTAATGCATGTTTTCCAGCAGAATTTTTCAGACTTTATCATTTTGATACAGCATTCTCATAAATTGTATACTGGTATGTTAATTAAATATTGCAATTTTTCCTTCATTGCTTATCTCCTTGATATACATATATTGATGTGATTTGATTCCACTAGGGTACCTACCCACAGAGAGTTTCAAATATTCTGGCGTAGGTCCCTTTCTTGTTTTTGAAGGACTCCAGCACCTCTTCTGGGGAGCCTTTGGGAACATTGGCAAAACTGATTGTGTACATGTTCTTACAAGTCATCCATCGGAAGATTGCCCTGAAAATAGAAATTAATAATTCTATTTAGGTGTAAAAAAAATGGAGATTTAAAACAGTTTTATATAGTGTTTGACAAAATTTGTCTTAATTTGATTCCAGTTTTCTAATGAACAGTAAAATGGGTAAAAGGAAGACAGTGTGAACAAGTGGATGAAAGGAGGATTAAAATTCTACAGTTAAAATATAGTTTTTTTAAAATGCAAGTTATATGCCAACAATCTTCGCTGGCCAAGGGTTTCCGATCCAATCTCTACTTCAGATCGGAAACCCTTTGCTAGCAAATATGACAACAATCAAGAAAATAAGAAATTCATAATTCTAAATAAACAGAATTTCAAACAATTTAGAGCTCTATATAAAAGTTATACAATGTACTTTTGTCAAGCCCTGAACATTATAACATTTTGGAAAAATACATGATTGCTGAAATTTTTGTACATTCTGCCTTGAAACATAACCACACAGCTAGGATATCAAATGTCAAGCTTTATAAGGCTAATCTATCATTAGGAGGGCAATTTTTCATAATTCAAATTCTCCTTCAAGTTTATATTTTCTCTCACTTTCATTTATTGTACTTAATTGCTTTGGCAGGATAACTTCTTGGTTAATCTGTATCTGTTCAACAAATGAGAAAAAGAACTATACTGCATCATACTGCCTGTCAAAAATCTCGTTAGATCTCTCTGCTTCTACAGATCTGCCTATATGGGCTGCCTGTTAACTTTTTTTACCCCTTAACCTTGAAAGATTTTCTGATAGATGCAAGCAATATAATATTACATTAGTTTCTGGATCTTCAGCGAGTTTTGTACCTACTAGGTCAATGGCGGAAGGGGAAATATAGAGGAATGTAATTAAGAAAATGAAGTTAATTAGAAGTTAGCTTCCCATTCTTTTGCTCCCTGCTCTAAAATAAAAACAGCACTGCCTGCTCAATTTAACTGCTTGCCTTCTGAAATGGATTAACTTGGAGAAAATGCATTCTGCACGCACAGACAATTCTGCGTACTACATTACTATCTGGCTTGAGCCTTTGGCAAATGCTTATCATTTTTTGTTGGATTTACAAGAGCATTCCACTCTCATTTCATCGACAAGAAATCTATCTTTATCAAAACATTTGCATCAGCATATCTTCTCTGTTTTAGAAGTGGGGCTCCTAACTTCCTATTATTAACCCACGACTTGTCTGTGAAATTGACATAAATATATATCATTTGTACCCATGCATATACAATGTAGATATTGAGAGTAGCAATTTAGGATGTGATCAAGTGTTTCAGTTTGGATTTAATTCATTTGACTACAAATATTGTACTGTTTTTAAATATTACACATGAAATAAACATCTTAAAGTATAGATCATTGAAAGGCAATCGATCTCAATACTTCATGAAATTATTTTTCTTAATTCAAAGATATATGACAGTCCTACTTTCTGATAATGAATATATTATATGTATATGCAAATGTGAAGAAATAGGAATTGTATGTTCTCCAAGTTCATGAAAGTAGTATCAAGTGATGAACACATTCTTCATTGTACATCAGATTTGTGCAAGACTACATGCAAAAGGGCTGACAAATTTTCTTGTCACTTGCAGAGCAGAGCAACATTAAAAGATCACTTTTCCCCGGCATCACTGTCACCCCAATCTTTATTAATCTTTTAGTTCTTCTATCCTACGTCATTGTTATTCATCTTTGTAACCATTTTTCAACTCACAAAGCTTATTACATCAACAGTTTTTAAGCCAAGAGGAGACTCATCTCCCCACAAAACTTGACAATTGATCACAGGGCTATCTCTTCAGCATCAAAGACTCTATCTTAATTCCCTGTATACCGACTGGTTCTATTTCTGGTCCAGCACACCTTGATGTAGATATTTATGAGATAGGTCTGTTCTTATATGAGCCTCATTGAGCTTTCTTCTCATCTTTGCTGATCAAAAATCTCTAGTTGCAAATCCATTTGTTGTTCTCTCTCTCTCTCCCTCTCTCTCTCTCTCTCAATTATATGTGGTATAACTGTTTGTTAAGGGTAAAGGTATAACTGTGTGTTAGGGGTAAAGTTTCATTAAACAGAAAGCTATGACACAGACATTGATCCTAAATCATTTATTTATATCACCATAAATAATAAATTAATCTCATTTGTTTTATTTGTGTATTATGCATAGTGCTGAGCTGTTATATTACCAAGGTATTAAAGGGATTCACCTCTCTACATACAGTAGTTATGAGTTAGTCTGCAATATTACAGAGTTCACAATTATACAAGATTGGAGATTTCCTGTCAGGATATGTCCAATTCACAAATAACAGGGCTTCTCTTCAGTTTAATAATCAGACTACTGTGTGGCATGAGGACAGATTTTGTAGGAGCTCAAGACTATACCCCCTCCCTCATTAAATTTGGAGGGTTTCTGAGGATATTCCCCTCCAACCCCATCAGAACTTCTCCATGAACTTGCCTCAGGTTAATCTATATAGCCATTAGACCACCGTCTGATAAAGTACTTTATCTTTATCATCAAGGCCATCATCTGATTCTGAATACTTCACTATAAATTCATGGATACTACCTACTTCATTTTTTTTTCTCCTCTGAAAAAATAGGGCCAGATTGGAGAACTTGATCAAAATGAAAAATAAACAACATTCCAGAGATTGTTTACACAGACAAGGGAATGTTACCGTGGTGACAAAGCTGGCTTCTTTCCTATGTGGTTAAAATGCACGGAAGAATGATTCACGGGTTTACGAGGATGATTTTGATGCAGGGTATGCTGTCTGGCTTCGTGTTTACGTAATCCACATAAAACATTATGATAACTTATTTGATATACCTTAGGTAACCATGACGTGCAACACCGCATCATAGCGCAATAGTGCACAAGTACTTCAATGTATGAATCTCAGCTACCCATTCAGTCATTGTACTTATGCATTAATTATCCTTCAAGGATGATTAATACTGAAACTAGGAATGCCAAAACCTTTGGTAATCTTTCCATTTTTTATGTCATTACTTGTGTGTGTATTGGCAGGGGAAAAAAATTCCAGAGATTGTGAGCAAATGTCAATCATTTGAGACTAGCCAGCTAGTTCTCTAATACATTTACTAATACAGTGGACCTTCAGATAAGGATGAGCCATCTAGTTCTACAACACATTTTCATTATAACGAAATTTTAAAATGTTATTCTGTCTTGTTTAACTGGTGATTAGATATGAACATGAGGTTGAACTATACTGGGTGCTCTTGTTATAGGGTCCACTGTATAAGGTTTTTGAGGTACTACCAGACTAATTGAGTTGAGGTTAAGCTAGCTCTCTTGAAATATTCCCCAGGGTTTGTGAGCTTCTACCCTGTCAAGTGAGGCTAAACTAGCTCACCTGTGTATATTTCTCTGCCTTTGTGGGCTACTAGCAAATAAGTAAAGGCTACAGGGCTAGCTTTTCTGCATATTTACCTGGCTTTGTCCAATTCAGACTGGTAATTCTGGCTGTACACCAGGTGCCATATTAGATCCCGGAACGTCTTGTGGTCTTGGCTGGCTACCTACAATCACAATTTTCTTTTTTAATCAAATATCAATTACACTAAAAAAAATTAAATTTTGCCTCTATTTTGCACTTTTAACATGTATATATTATCCCTTCTAATCGCATTCTTGTTTTTTGATGAAGACAAGGTTCTTTTAATTTGTTTTTTTGGACTTTCTCGTTCGGGCATTTGGCCAAACTTGAACTGTTCCTACGTTTCTCCATTTTTTTTTTTTTTTTTTTACAGTGACTGACAGTAAATTATTTTCTGTCGGTGTGGGTGTCTGTTATATCATTGTAAAATTCTCCTCTAACTCACTGGATAACATCAGTAAGCAGATGCCTGACTAATGTTCTGTCAGACGGAGAAATTCAGAAACCGCATGTGCCTGCTACAACTTGTTAAAAGCCAGGAGAAATTTGTAGAAAGAACTAGAAAGGTTCTAACCCCTCTGAACTCTACACATTCTGAAAATTATTGCTTGATGTGAATTATAAAGAAATCCTGAAAATGTCCTAGAAGTTTTGTTTTAAATAAACATTTCACGTACAATGGAGCTTTTTTAATCCAGATGCTCGATCTGTTCCGGAGTATACTGTCTGGATTAATAAAATGTCTGGAAAAGTGGCACCTCTATGAGCGTCCACTGAACTTCACTGATAGATTTAGAAGGGGTCTAAGAGTGGCCCTGGGTCCTTCTATTTGTGGCCAAAATATAATACACCAGATTAATGAATTAAAATTTTTGTGGGGTATATTGCATTAATTTCACAAAACGTATAGCTAAAATTAGATAGAAAAAACCCCAAGGCAAGAGCTTATCCCCTGGACCCCAACCCCAGACCCTGAATTCGTTGCCCCCCCCCTTTTTTTTTAAAGAACACTGGATCCATAACTGATGATTTCATCAATTTTAATAAGGTCTTCAAAAAAGTGCAGACGTTAGCTTCTATATAATGGTGGATTTCCTGTATGCATTTTTTGATGATGTGCATTTATTTTCTAAATTTATACACCATGTATCAAATAACCACAATTTACTACTTCACCTACTGAGAATTTCTAACACTAGGCTATAGCCGCCAGACAAATCATTAAATTGGAGCACTGATAGCAAGGATGGGGGCCACATATTAATATCTCAGTGGTTCTCCAAGATTGATGTTTTATGTGTGATTTTGGCTGATAACACTGTATGCACTGAATTATACCCAAATAACTCATTACTCATCAATGTATATGTATACAAACTGCAAGCTCCCAAAAGATGCTGCAACTGCACGCAAATTTGGCAGAATGAAGAAGTCCATCTTTTTTTTTTCAAATTAAAGGTCAAATAATTTTTTTCTTCACGGTACAGCAGATTAATTGCTTCAAAATTTGGAAGAAAATATTTTACATGCATTCATATGTAAAAATGATGTCTACAATGCTGGCAATTTTACCCTTAAGGAGATTCTATGCTAGCTAGCTTATGATAAATAACATCATCTCAGTGATACGTTCTTTCACCCTACACAATAAACGGGTCAAGATAGATGATATTTTCTATTCATCTACAATTTCAGTTCAATCAAAATGTCACTCATGTATAATACTAATTTATACAGAGAGTTCTCCCATTATTTGCATACAAAGCGTTACATTCCTGAGGGCTGTTGTCTCGTCAGCATGCAAAACAACTGACTGTATTTCATATATTGATCTGATCTTTCGTTAATTCTAGGATAATTTCATAATTCCACATACACATAGATAGATATGTACCTATAGTTCCAGTATACTGTAAAATCACATATTTTCGAGGGGTCAATTTTTCATGGTTTTAGGAAAATAAATCATTTCATGGGGATTTGATTTTGTGGTTGAAGAATTGTTCACTATAATTTATGCTAAAAATTGAATTTCGTGGTGGACCTAAATTCATGGGTCACATCTTTTATCTTGAAAACAGCGAAAATTAAACCCGCAAAAAAATTAGCAAGATTAGTGATTTCACAATATTCAGACTTACTGAGATGGCGTGCTCGTCTATGAATCGAAACTGACCCACGTCTCGGTAGATGTCGAACTTCCTGTATCTGGAGCGGGCGGGAGGGGGCACGTTGGGTTGCTGGGTCAGGATGTTGACCGCCTGAAAGTGGTTGGGGGCCTGCATGGTTGTGACTGTTTACCACTGGCCAACTGAAAAAGAATTTTATAAAGTGCATAAAAAGTTTCCGGATTGTATAAATTATGCTGAATGTGTATGCAGAGCAGCTAACATTTATTTTCAAGCATGCAGTAACAGCAAATGGCCTTGAAATTTAACGCATAATAAAAATATTTACATTTTATAGAAAGTGTGATGTTTACAATTCTAAGAAAATTATGTAAAAAAAATATACAATTTAGTCTTTGTGCATGTATATATACTGGTTCTTTCTATGATGAATTGTCAGATGTTATGCATGAAATATTCATTATTAAGTTAAGACATCTAATTTTAATACAGAGTGAATCTCCCCTGCACAATAACAAGCTTATATGTTCAGCCCATTATACAACCCTGGCATTCTAAGCTGTTGTGGAAAAGATTTATTAAAACCTGTATCAATATTTAGATTTCTTAAAGTCTGGCCTGCTGGGAACAGGTAAAATATCAACTACCTGAGTGACCTTCCAATAACTGGCATGCGGCTGACACGATAAGTGAGGCGGCTTGGCCCTGCAGATTTTGACGGGGTACACTATATTGATAGAATACTCCTCCATATTAACACTAGGTTTCCTCTATAATTTTAATTTGGTTCACTTTTAATTTTAGAAAATTAGCTTGCTTTTTCAAAATTGGACAAGGAATTCTTATGATGTTATTGTATGTGAAATACATGGACAATTTTTGGGCCTGATTAGAAGATTAATAGGATTAGTAGCAATTTAATCAAGTTAATTATAGGAAGTATTCAAATTGAACCTTGATAAAGCTCTCTAAAATAAACAATGTAGACATGAATGAATAAATATACTACATACACATCCAACAAGAATGCTTCTCTTGTAGATTTTGAGCTGAGTATTAAAACTAAATTTCTCCAAAATTACCTGGACATTGGTTGGTGAAAACCATTCTATAGGGAAGACACCTGAATGTAATTTTATTCTTTAAATTACTACATGTAGTTCATGAAAATGCTGAGTGAGTGAATCTTTCAAAAAATGTTGGTCGATCGTTTAATTAACTTTCACCTGGCAGCAATGTATTTAAACACATTGATCTCATTATCGACAGACGCACAGACAGACAGGTAACCAAACAGGAAATTCTAAATCAGCCTGAGCCTCCTTAAAACCCACTCCAGTCGTTAATCAATACCTGGGTCTGTGACAGACTATCATATCATACACCAGACAGATGAAAAGAATAAATAAACCTGATTGATTTTCCATGTTCCACCCACAACATAAACTTGGAAGCCAAAAGGAAAGAATAAAATGTGGAGCCTATCAGATAAAATAACAGGGATTTTAGTGTGCATGTATAATTTGTTACATCCTTTAAGTTTCTAATTTGTATGCATATAGTGCATACTTAGCAATTTGTAAGAAAAAATATGTCTAGCATCACTGTAACATGTTGACATAGTTGAAAAGAGGCATATTCTAATTCTACATTCTGATTCACATTATTGTACAATAAAGTCACATTCAAGATGTTCAAAGCTTTGAGGAGTCACAGTGTAATAATTTACATTCTGTCCATATGAACTGATAGCATCAAAGCTTATATAATCCGGAATTCAGTTGCTCGTGGATGTGCATTGATAATGGCTGTGATAAGCTGTGTTTTGCAGCATCTGGATTTTATGCCTGGATGCTTTTAAATACTCATTGTAAGATCATTTGTGTGTACATGATGTATACACAGGAGTTGTCCCTAAGAATTAAAATAGCTGGGGACAATGAAAGAATAGAAAGGGATCTGGATCCACTCCCAAAAGGAGCTGTGGATTGTGGGGAGGAATATAATACCAAAGTAACCAGGGGATTATATCAAAAAGGAAATTGTGGGGGCCAAAGGGGGGGGGGGGGGGGGGATTCCCTGGCCCCCAGGTCTTAGGGAAAACCCTAATACAATTTTCTCCTCTTCACTAGCTGACAAAACAAATCTGTGTCACTGTGTGTGACAATATCCATCTGGGGTCGTCCCCCAGACCTGGGGATCAGAAAATTGTAATCCCCACTTCCTGATATTCCAGTATTATCTCTGTAAACCCCAAACCCCCTTCAACTAATGTCTCATCTATTTCCAATTCCTAGAACCATGAACCCTGTCCTTATACATGTTATAATCTAAAAAAGTACAATCATATGATTATGTAAAGTTGAGACAGACAAGGACAAATTGAAAATTGGGCTTGCATACTTACGTGTACTTCTGTATTTTTTTATCCAAAATTAGAATCATTACAAGTGTTTGGCCGAATATAATACATATTTTTTTCCAAAAATAAATTTCTGTGAGAAAGGGGTGCGTATTTTACATGCCAATATGTATATATAAATCTTGATTATACGGTGAAAATAATCATATAGAACTCAATATGACTGGATAAAGTTTTGGTTTATTAGGTTACCTTTATTAGGTCAATGACCAGGATAAAAAGGTATATATTACTGACCATTGGTGGAAAAGTCAAAACAAGCTGTGATAGCTAAAATACATGAAATCTCTAAATTTTTAAAGTACATAATATAAAGGTATATACACTGTAATTAAATTATGACTTTATTTACTGTTCCATATTTAATTATTTTACTGATTGAGACATTTTAAAACACTTCAAATTATTGATGTTTATATTTCATAAGAGCATGCAAGCATAGCACATCTACTCCCACACAAAAATGCTGACTTCAACATTTTGCACTCTATAAGTGGGATATTGTTGAACAAATTTCTGTTTACTTGCATTCTTCTAAGATGTGTAATACATTATACCTCATTTACCTCAGTTACCTGAGTGTTTTAATTTAATTTTTCAGAATTTAAAAATACACCTGTCAGGGACTGGTGAAAGCACTATAGTTGTGTGGGTGGACTCGATCCACTGCTATTGACTCAAATAAAACACGGAGATAACATTTCACTGCTCACCATGATATGTATGCCATCAAATTATTATTCATCTTACAAACAACAAAGTGTCTCAAGATTTGCAACAGAGAAGATAATTTTTGTATTTTTGCAGTAAAAATTTCATTTATTCCAAGAGTTTCATAAGAGACTTGTTTATAAACAGTAAATTTACAGAGGGTACATGAGAAAGTTTATATGCTTGTATGAATGCAGCATAAGCATTGCTCCACATTATGAAGCATTTATTGTTCCACATTGTCATTCAAACTGGCTGCCTTTTTAGTCATGGCCTTGAATAGCTTTACTGACATGCAGTCATTTGCTAACTCTGTCTGAAGTATTATCATTAGCAGCACTGGGTGTTAAATTTGTTACTCTTTGTGGATTAAGATGAAAAGAATGTTAACATTTTAAAGTGCCATTACTTAAAACAAGTGTTTTTTAAAAAGTAACTTCCTTTGAGATGTGTAAAAATTATATATTCTTATATAGAATAATTACGCTTTACTCAAAACAATGAAGTCACAAGTGTTACCTAATTCATATAAAAGATCAATTATGTGTGTCAAAAAGTATTTTTTAACAAAAAAAATGTTTGTTTGTTTGACCTATATATACTCAGCACTCAAGGCCATTGAGCATGGAGGGATCTTTTTCTTGCCAGCACCTACTGCAACACTGGACATATAGGTTTATACCATCTCATGTGAAGGACTGCAGGGTCTCCACATCCCACAGTGGGATTTGAACTCACAACATAACTTTGGATCAACTTCTTACTCTGCAACCCGATCTATAGACGCTTTACCACTGCACCTGATGCAGGTGACATTTCTTTGATATAAAGTGTTCCAATAGATTATAATATAACACTTAAATCAATTGGCTTATATTAATATTCTGATGAATTTATGTAAAAAGAAACAAAATGTGTTGATTAATCATTTGGTGACAATTTAGAATTAATGAAATTAGGCTTAAATGATCAACAATACATTTTCACAATCACAATGTTGGTTGTATTCTGATTGAAAACCAGGTTACAACTACAACAAGGACACTGCAAGTCAATGAATTAAACAGAAAATAATAGAACATACAAACACAAAGATATCAATTAAATAAAAAATACAAAATCAGTCAGTTCTGAATCACTGATGCTGAACAAACGCAAAGTTCAATGTCAACAAAAGTAAATATGAAAAATAAACAATAAGTTACTTACAACAAAATATATATAAGTCCCACAAAACCTTCTCGTAAGAACTACGGTCGATCGATGAAAGATCACTTTGTTTACTTCACGCTATTCAACTCCCTAACTGAGTCATTTTGACTCCCACTCCAAAAATGGTGTGAAACCAGAAAACCGGAACTGTCTGTCTCAGAGTGTCTGAAGATTTTACAGAAGCAAATCGTCACCTGGCTAATTAAGATTTTAAGGAAGCGTTTGCAATACTTGATTTATTTGTTCCTTACCTTTAAAAAGCCGTGTCAGTCAACAAAAACAGTATTCCTCTCTCTTTCTCGTTGAATGTTGATGAATTTCGCCGGTATAATTTAAAGCATGCGCAATGAGATTTTGTGCTGACAGGTGCGTTGCGGGAGATAACTCCTAAACCCCCCAAATCCATGTCCCAAAACCAAAAATTATTTTTGAAATATATCGCTATCAAAACCAAGTAGAGTAATATTTTTACGGATTGTTAACAGTATAAAAATGTTCAAATGTTCATAGAAATTTAAAAAATACATATTGAATTCACAAAATATTAAGTTTAATTTTACTTAGTATAACACCCGAGAGAGAAAAAAAGGTCTCAATGAATTTTCATTTATTCCATTGATACTAATTGTAAAATTATCATTAAATTAAAAGTAACCATTATTTCATTTCAAAGTTCAAATCAAATTAATTTGCCCGATTTGAAATGTACGGCATACTTTGTTTTACTCTCCCTCTTTTGAAAATTCCATTACTTTCAAGAACACTTATATTTATTCATTATCTATACATACTTTGACAAAATTCTTCAAAATTTCGTAAATTCCGTCTTAAAATTTATCAGAGAGAGAGAGAGAGAGAGAGAGAGAGAGAGAGAGAGAGAGAGAGAGAGAGAGAGAGAGAGAGAGAGAGAGAGAGAAATTGAAAATAAAATTTATTTTTTTTTTATTTTACTACGAAACACTGAATTCAAAAAGGATTCCTTTTTGTCCCAATGAATCTTTTATAGAAGCACTGGGACATTTTAAAATATCATATTGTCTGTCTGTCCGTCAAAAAAAAAAACAAAAAAAAAAACCGCCCATACATCTGAATAAGAAAAATAAAGTAATTTCATATTTAAAAGGTGCATTTCATATGGCAAGAGTTTTCCAAATGAATTTTGAATTATGATTTTTACCCTATAGACCTTAACTTGAAGTTTGTCTTACTTTACCAAAACATTGTAAACGTTTACCGTTACAACTTTTGCACTAAAACATATCGGGCATTAATTTTTTTTAACTTCGGCAAGACCAATCCATATATACTATAATTTTTGACCCGTCAACCTGGAACTCGAAGTTTGACTTTCAAAAACTTGAACCTTGGCCGTAACTTTTGCAAAGGAACACACGGACGAAATTATGCATGTATGGTAATGTTACAATACCTCTTTGTCATACTATTATATATAAGACTCTGAAAGAATCCTGAAAGTGGGAAATCACAATCCACTGTGACTGAATTTCTTTTCCTGAACTACATGTACATGTACAGAGAGCCGGGGTCGTAATGCACATTGAATGAGTTTTGCATTTCCTTATTTCTTGGAGAGGTCGGGGATCGAGGGAGGTGCCTCATGTAGTTCCCCATCTCAAATGAACTCTTGAATTTCACCTATATACTGGCACTCGGTATATACATTCATACATATCAAATTAATAAAGGCCAAATATTTGTACAAAAAAGTAGACAAACGTTCTAGGGCTCTCACAGTAAATTTGGTAATGACCAAGGCCATCAAAGTTGTCCAACTTTTTTCTTGAAGGGGGAGGGGTCTTTAACATTTATTTATCTCCTCATGCATTGTAGCTTAGCTTATAACTGTATGTTTTTTTTTTAAAATCTCTGTTTTACAATAACATATTCAGCTGGGGGAAGGGTACTTTTTTTTAAATTGGGAACTGGTCTTTCAATAACCCGGAAAACAACTAAACACAAAATAAAAGTGAAAGAATCAACAATTTATTTCAACTTTAACCATTTCTAACAAAGAAAAAAATAAAATAAATAACTTTATAATTATCAAATGAAATCATTAAAAATGCACCATTAAAACAATACACTAAAAAATTAAATGTTAATTTATAAGTTAAAAAAATAATGGTTTCTGATAAATGGAAATCACTTCATAAAGGTATATACTTTCAAGTTGCAAAATGAAATTATATATTGACATCTTTAAAAAATCATGAAACAATGAATTATTTGCGTAAACAGTAACAATTAATTCAACTTCTTTTATATCTATATGTACCAACAAGACATGAAATGCATGAACATATACTCATTAAATATTTTAAAAATTATACAGATAATAAATCCTTAAAGACAGAGGACAGGTTTAAGTTAGCATGTGTAAAAACATAACTGTACACATAAAAATGTTCTTTGGCTCAAAATATTTCAACATATTTAGTATCATTAAAACCTCTAAAACACATAAATTAGTATTTCAACAATCTTTCATGTGCACAAATTGCTACTGTACAATTCTATAAAAATAGTGATTTTTGTGTCTCTAGCAGTACATACAATGCATAAACATGATAAATAGATTCCATACATTTGCTGAAAAGTTTATCTGGTGATAGGCACTTTTATTCACATCTGATCATTATATTAAGTGTAATTAAGTGTAATTAAGTGTAATATATTGTCTGTCTCCCTGAAAAGTTTGCAAATCAATACAATGTCATGTACCAGTAATACATTAATCAAATTCATCAACCATGCATGCAAATACATATTAAAGCTTTCCATTTTAAATGCAAACTTAAACTGTTATTTATGTTTTCGTTCACAAAATGTTATATTGGACTTTTGCAAAATTATCATATTTTGAACACTTGATGTTGAATAATAAATATAGTGAGGTAAGATTTATTTACCGGTATTCAAAAAACACAACATGGGTACAGTGTAAAGGCTTTCAAATCAAGATTACTAGGCAATTGCAATATTGAATGAATATCATTTTTCTATTAATTATACATGTATTTCCTTGAGCAAATGATTGCTGAACACAGTTTTTTTTTTTAGAAAAAGCCCTGAAATACTCAGCACTCTGCTTCATTCAATATCAGTGTTTGAGACTCGCTGTAAAATAAGCTATAGTTATGCAGAACCGACCGCTAGTAAAAGTTGTCAGCCCTGCCAAAACATTAAGAAGCCTGCCTGAGAAAATATTTGTATCTGTACTTTATAAATTTGTTTCGATTTCAGCAATAATGTGAATTGGGGAACAGATCACAATATCTGTTTGATCCTGAGCTTATATAGGCTGATGATTTCTACCTGTTTGCTTGTTACATGTACATTTTGCTGTCGATACTATTAGTTCATTTGAGAGAGATTTATCCAATATTCAAACTAAAGTTTAATTTACGCAAAGTTTTTCATACATTCAAATCTGTTAACCCATGCAACAAAATTTTTGCGTCTTGTATAGTCAGTCAAATGGTTATTTCAAGCACTGATTGTACCAGTATTCATGATAATTAAGCTACATTTTAGCTTTGAATTTCATATGCAACTGTTACAGTTGATATCTAAGGTGCAGTAAAACATGCTTACACCTAACTTGCTCATAATAAATTGATGATAACAGCCAAGTGAGCTTTATTCCCTATATGGCTTTAAAGTACAACATTGTACATGTATCATACATTGTGTATTTTAAACTTTAAAAGAATATAAGGAACTATGTTTTTTTGCAAAATTGTTCTACACTGACAATTTTTTAAAAGTGCAGGTTTTTCTGTACTCACATGTGTACACTGTCTCTATTTCGAGAACTGTTCCTATCGGTCTTAGAGTTATCGCAAAGAGTAGCCTGGGAAGAAAATTTAACGGCATATTTTTTCTGAACTATTTCCACTGCATTATTAAGCATTAACTTTTTGAAAACATATCCAAGAAAAGTACAAGCAAAAAATTGAGAAATGGCAACGAGAGGACAAAAAATTCGTAAAAAACTACATTGAAGGTTGACGTGAGAGAACAGTTTTTGATAACAAGATGTCGGCCAAACAAAGGGGGAGGTGAGATTCACACTGACTAAATTATTGACATTGACACAGTTGGTTATATCCTCTGTGCACTGACATGAAGACAGTCCCCATGTTGAGGTAGTAGCATTTTGCTTGGCATCAGAAATCCAGTTCTGGTAGCTTGTAGCTCCACAGCACTCAAAATCAGCTTGTATATTTTCCCAGCACTCCTGATTTTTCGAATTTAAAAGTGATTCTGAAAGCTGACTTTGGAATTTATTTGATAAATTATTGTAGTCTAGTGTTGCCACTATTGCGACCGTGATTTCAAGAATGATGATGATAATGAAACCCCCGATAAAGTACGGAGGACGGAGATATTGTCGATGTCTGAATGTCATTAGAACACCAGGAATGCTGACTAAAATGCATAATAGTCCAGACACCATCCAAAACACACTGGCAGCAACAAACTGGTCCAAAAATTCACAGGATGTGCTCTTTAGTCTTGTAATCAACCATATACTTGTTGAGATTGCAATTATCCCCTCGACATGCAGGAAAGTCAAAATTATCAAACAAAACACATGAATGGTCTTAGCCTTTCCACGTCTGTCTAATGCTGGCACTTTCATCAACTTATGCATGACTGGTAGATTTTTTTTTCTAAATATGAGAAAGAAGGAAAAAATAATTTAGACTAACTTGCAAATTCATTATTTATAGTTAATCCAAGTGGAGAAAACTTTTTAAAAATAAAATTGAAATGCTCAATAGTTTAAAACGCATTAAAATATATTTTGCAATGAAAATGAAATTGAAAATGAAATTCTGAAATGCAGTCACATGACGGAGTTTTAAAATATCGATACGCGATATTGGAAGAGTACCAAATTTTAAATAAAGAAAGAGATGTTATCAATCGATCAGTGTTATCGTTTTGACACGTTAGTTCTGCAACTTCTGGGGACAATACTCACCTTTCAATATACCGCTTACATTATCAAAATTCTTCTGTCATTGGTAAATGTGTGAAGATATTGAGAAAAACTGCAATATTGACAAAATGTTCATGGTTTGACGTAACCAATGTAATTTAACTTTCTGAGTCCCCTGAACGTTTTGTCAGTTAATTTTAGAACCAACATGACTAAGATTTTTTTCCCCGAATAAAATTCTTTCGCTCAGTTTCAAATCAAAAAAGGAATGTAGGTAAAATTTCGATATATCAATGCTCCCCGATCGATAGATCTGGGGCGTATATTGTTTTTGTCCTATCTGTCTTTCTGTTTATCTGTTTGTCTGTTGTCAACTTTAACCTTCGCCATAACTTTTGAACCGTGGGAGATAGAGACTTCATATTTTGTATGCATACATCACTAATTAAGCTCTTTCGAATAACACCAAGGTCAATGACCTTGTGACCTTGACTGTAACCTACCGGCATATGCTAAAAATAGCCTTTTCGAACTTTCGCCATAACTTTTGAACCAAAGGAGATAGAGAGTTCAGTCATATTTGGTATGCGTACTCAACTGATTAATTTCTTCCAAATGACACCAAGGTCAATGACTTTGTTACCTTGACTGTTACCTTTATGCTAAAAATAGCTTTTTCTAACTTTCGCCATAACATTTGAACCATGGGAGATAGAGACGCCATGTTTGGTATGCATACTCCACTTATTTTAAAAGTTCTTTCAAATGACACTAAGGTCAATGACCTTGTGACCTTGACTGTGACCTATATGCTTAAAGTAGCTTTTTTCGAACTTTGTTGCCGCCGGGCGCATAGTGTTTTACATACACATTTTGTTTTCTTTTAGAAAAAGTTAGATATACAAGCTTATGAAAAATGATACGTATACATGTACAGTGGCAGCTAGATTTAGAGATGGCATGTACCTTTCCCCCACCTAACAACTTAAACTACAGGTACTGTGGACACTGAGCTCTCTAAATGACAACCCCCCCCCCCCCGCCTCCCATATGATTACAATGACAAAGTCCACGTTTTTCTCCGAGAAACCCGAAAAAAGTGTCAGCTTGAAATAAAAAGTAAAACAGTAGTTGCACAATTAAATCGCAATTGCGTATTAAGGAGTCCGTGAAAGTATCATATATATTAAACTCAATTTATTTAAGGAACGAAGCTTATTTCAACTTATATTATACGATATAACATAACTTGGGGCAGTTTACGCTTTATAAACCGCGAAGCGGTTTATAAAAAAAGCATAAACTGCCCCAAGTTATGTTATATCGTATAAAATAAGTTGAAATAAGCTTCATTCCTTATAATTTTATTGCAGTGCAGACAATAAGACAATTTTCCCCCAGAATAAGGCTTCACATTGATTAAATTTTAAAAGTAACGTCAAGCGGAGTAATACGTTTTTTGACGTAACTCATTGTGACGTAGGCAAATTATGTTATACAAAATGGATAAAATCTTTTATCCAATCAAATGACGTGTTACAAGTAAAATTAAATTATTCCGTGGTATAGAAGGTTAATTTATTTATTAGTTAAAATTGAGCAAGCAAAAATTTTCTTTAAATTTGTTTAATACAAATTACTTAAAATTATACCTCAAACACTCTAATAGACTGGACTCATACATGACCTACCTCCCGACCCCAATCACTGTGAATTTTCATCGTCCAATTTTTATTGGAGATTTGGGGAAGGGCGGGAGGGGTGGGGGTGGTGGTAACCAGTTGGTGATGTATAATAAAAGGCGAAAAGTATAAATGTATTTCATAGGCGTCGGAAGCAAATTGAAAGTGGGATGGGAGAGGGTTAATTGAAAAGGGTAGTTAAACCAACAAAAAAAGTATGCCCCAATTTTCAATGCCTATATCATGTTTATCTTTGCAAATAAGAGGTAATGGGGCTAACCCCCCCCCCCCTCCCCCGGGCCGGGTTCCGACGCCTATGCTTTGTTAGGACCACAGAATCCCCATTATGGTCTACGTTACGCTTCTCTTTTCATTATGTTTTCTCACTAACGGAGGCTGGCTCTTGTGAGACTTAATAAGTTTATAGCGAGAGGTACAATGGTCTGACCTCAGAAGCTGCAAAATGGCCAACATAATTTTTGACGTTTTTTTTTCAATCTTTACAAAATTAATATTCGCGAACAAAGATATCCTTTTGCTATTGCAAGAGTAAGATTTCTGTGGGTTTTTTAATGGCGTTTTGCTGTGGTCCAAAGCATGCAAGGATAATTTTTCAAAACAAAATGCATTACCGGTAATTGTTTTTAAGCTGGACTCTTCTTATGAAGTACAAATCTGTTTAATAGTACATGCATAATGTATATAGATTCTACAATAGAATAATTATTCTCTTTAGAGAAGTGGACAGGCTTTCGCCTACATCCATGCGAAATCCTGTCCACTGTAGGTGAAAGCTTGTCCACTTGTCTAAAGAGAATAAGAGAATAATATGTGTATAAAAGATATACGGATAAATTGAAGGTGGGAGGATCCATAGGTTGGGGGCATGCACGCTCCGTCCCCTACAGCCGTCACGAAGTCTGCGTATTTTTAAATTACACCAGTGCGTAAGTTAACTTTTGCCAGTGCTTCTGTTTGACAGTGATGTTACTGAGCCCTCAGACTGGGAGAAGTAAGCAGCAGATTGATTGATTGATTGTATACTGTTTAACGTCCCTTTCCAGAATATTTCACCGATATGGAGACGTCACCATTGCCGGTGAAGGGCTGCAAATTTAGGCCTATGCTCGGCACTAACGGCCTTTGAGCAGGGAGGGATCTTTATCGTGCCACACCTGCTGTGACACGGGGCCTCGGTTTATACGGTCTCATCCGAAGGACCTCCCCATTTAGTCGCCTTTTACGACAAGCAAAGGGGTACTGAGGACCTATTCTAACCCGGATCCCCACGGGGCAAATATGCAGCAGAGGAATACGAGATACTGTGGCAGAGGAGTGGTCTAATGACCAGGCATCTTCGCTAGCCAAGGGTTTCCGATCCGAAATCTACTCTAGACTAGATTTCGGATCGGAAACCCTTGTCTAGCGAAGATGATGACCAGGAGGATATACATGAATGAATGAATGAATGAATGAATGAATGAATGAATAAATAGATAAATAAAAACTAGTAAATTGATCAAATAATAAAAAAAGAATAAATATATATATACTGGTAAATAAATATTTTAATATTTTAGTAAATTATACTTGATACATTGTAACAATAAAATTAATAATGTCTATATATGGATAGTCTTTAATTTGTTCCATTTTAGTGAGTATTCTGCATAAAACTGATATTTACAGTAAATTTAGAGTAATTAAAAATGCTCGGCAATAAGTATAAAACACAGATCTTTTTAATTATACCGCCAAGTGATTTTGATCTCTCCAGCTTTAACTTCCGGAAACAAAGTAGTTTGCGCGGGATTTTTCAGATTTTATACAGAGTTTTCCTTAGTTACAGCAATCGCAAAAATGGCGACGCTGCAAGATACTAGTGTCTGTTTTGACCGCGGTTCATTGAGTTTTTTGGCCTTTGAAGATGCCTACCCCCAGCTTGCCTGGGAAAGGAAACGTCAGATGAAGGTCAGTTTTCTTAGATTTTAATTATTGCCATACATTTTCTTCATTAATTGCATTATAGTTTTGTGTACTGGTGTCGACAGTTTCATGTAAACAATAAATTAAACCATTGAGGGTAGCCAGAGACATGGAAGAGTATAGGTCTCTGGTGTAGCAAAGCTCACCATTATTTACAATGCATTCACGTAGCATCGGGTTCACAACCTATTATCACAGGGGCTTGAAACAATCGTAGCAAATTCGGTACTATATACATGCAGTATAATACAGTTATTAGGGGAGTTCTCTTCCCTAATACTGTATATACCAGCTCTGATTTTGTTGTTTGTTAAGTTGTCGTAAGTCCCTCGGCCTGTTTTGTCGGCAAAAGCATGTCCATTTCCCTAAAGAAAGTAGCCCCAAACCACAGTTTTTTTCCTTTGAAAATGTCCATTGAAAGGTTCCCCCCTTTTTTGTTGCAATATAGTAAAGTAAGGATTAAGTTGTGTATGAGAATAATTTGATACAGAGAGAACTTGGAGCCTAATTGGAACATTGGAACCTAACCCCTTTTAGCTTTCAATTTTGTTTATTTCTTTGAGAGGATTGGATTTTCAGTTCCACAGTTTATTGATAATAATTTAAAGAACATTTTAAATATTATTAGAACTCATATATTCAGTAATGCGTCACAAGATCAAATATATCATATGTAAAACATAAACTAACACCCCCTCCTCCCAATTCTAACACACTAACTCATATTATTAAAATGCTTTGAATCTGATTAGCCTTTGATGTCTGCAAAGCTTTAATTTGTAGATTTACTAAACTACAGTGAAGCTTGTTTTTTTTAGTTACATTCTGTTGTTTATTTCAATGTATGTGTTGCTAAATTAAGACTTCAATTTTTTCTAGATCCAAAAGACAAAAGAGTCACCAGCTATGCTCCCCATTACAAATAAAATAGCACAAGTTAGTAAATGGATAGCAGAGAACAATTGTGGTAAGTTACTTTTTAATATTTTACAACAGCTACCAGTACAAAATAAATCAAAATCTTTTTTCTTAATTATGCCCCCATTTGATGAAGGGAGAGGTATTGCTTCACCACTGTCTGTTGATCTGTCTGTCTGTTGGTCAAGAAACAGTTTCCATTCATTTTCTTTGTAGAGGTTGCACATACTGAAATGAAAGTTGATATATAGATTTGTGATAAGAATATCTATATGAAGCTCTGTTTTGTGTAAGATGGAACAATTTTAGAAAGAGTTATGTCTCTTGGACTTTGAAATATTCAAATTATTGGGGGTGGGGGGGGGTGGGGGGGTAAGTGTTTCACAAACATCGCATCTCTTGTTTATTTTAGTTTACTTGTATGTGTATAATATTACACTCATATTTGGTGAAAAGGCACTATGTTGCCAAATTCATACAGTCCTGGGTACAGTTGTTGGGTTGACCATGTGACTAATGACTGCAATTATGACACTTATAATGATTTTTAATGTTCAAGTCAAGAGGTCAGGACCAGTAAGTTTAATGTTATGGAAAAGCTGGTATCTGCAAGGAATACCTTAATGTTACGACTGAGTCTTGACGCAGTAAAAAATTAACATAACATGTAAATTATGTTTCATGTGGATTTTTTTTCCCTCCTTCTGAATGCATTATGGTTTTTGGTCTTGCCTTGACCTTGAAGTTTGACCTACATTTGAAAAATGTTATTTTGTGCATTACACATGTTACATACAGCAATTAAAATATTACTGAACATGCTATGATTTCTGACCCCTGACCTTGACTTTTATTTTTGACCTTATAAATTCAAAATCAACTTCGGTGATAATTTCTGAATGACATATGGTAGGGCATTCATATATGACACAATATTCCATACAAATGACACCACAAAGATGCAAAGACTTACAAAGACACTAAAAGCGGGGGACCACAATTTTTTGAATTTTCTTGTTACATTTATATATAAATGTGAAACATAAAAATTTTAATATAGATAACTAGAATAGGACATGAATGCCCCGCCGAGGTTATATCAGTAATGCAACATAAAAAATCGAATCTCTGCATGAAATTTCAGAATATCTTGAATAGTGATGCAGTTGAATTGCTTACATCAGAATGTAACAGTATATGAAGTTTAACACTAATTTAAGAAAAGTGAGGTCAAGGTCAAAGGTAAGGTCAAGGTAAAAAAATGTTGATACAGTTTAAAAGCTCTCATCAGTATGCATCAGCATATGAAGTTGAAAAAATATTAATGGTTTCCTTAAAACTGACTTAATCACAATTTGATAAAAGTGTGGTCAAGGTCAAATGAATGGTCAAGGTCAAAAATGTTGATGCAGATGAATTGCTCAGATCAGTATGTATCAGCATATGAAGTTTGATAAAATATATCTTGAATGGTATCTTTAAAACTGAGCTAAACACTCATTTAAGAAAAGTGAGGTCAAAGGTCAAAGAAAGGTCAGGTCGAAAAATGTTGACGCAGTTGAATAGCTCTCATCAGTATGTTTCAGCATATGAAGTTTGCTAACACTATCTTGAATGGTATCTTTAAAACTGAGCTAAACACTCATTTAAGAAAAGTGAGGTCAAGGTCAAAGGAAAGGTCAAGGTCAAAATATTGATGCAATTGAATAGCTCTCATCAATATATATAAGGCTATGAAGTTGATAATGCTTTTGTATGGTATCTTTAAAACTGAGCTAAACACTCATTGAAGAATAGTGAGGTTAAGGTCAAAGGAAAGGTCAAGGTAAAATGTTGATGCATTCATGTCCAGTTCACTTAATCAATTCGATATTGTCGACATCGCAATGTTGACAATGTTGATACGATATCATGTTTACATTGTCAACATTGTTATTATTTCTAAATGACGACATTGTCGACATCGCAATGTAAACAATGTTGATACGATATCGCGTTTACATCGTCTACATTGTTATCATTTCTACATGACAACATCGTCGACGTCGACATCGCAATGTTGACAATGTTGATACGATATCGCGTTTACATTGTCAACATTGTTATTATTTCTAAATAATTTAATTCTAGTTGTAACGCTTTTTTTGATTGGATAAAAAATTATTTTATACTGTATAAAATGGGTTGCCTACGTCACATTGACTTGCGTCAGAAACGTATTAATCCGCCTGATGTTACATTCAAAATTTGTACAAATTGAAGTCATTTTCTTTGTACAATAATCGTTTTTTCTTACATTAAATGAATGAAAATTAAATTATAAGGAATGAATTTAATAGCTACCCATTTTATACAGTATAAACTGGGTTGGAACAGTTTACGCATTTTTTATAAACCGCTTCGCGGTTTATAAAGCGTAAACTGCCCCAACCCAGTTTATACCGTATAAAATGGGTAGCTATTAAATTCATTCCTTAAATGACGACAATGTCGACATCGCAATGTAAACGATGTTGATACGTTCTTCACTTTAGACTTAACCACAACTCGACAAAATCGCACCCCAATCTATACAAAAAAGGGTTAGTCTTGCACCCCACTCTATACAAATACACAACTCTACTAATTAGGGTTAGTCTCGCACACAACTCTATAATAATTAAGGTTAGTCTCGCACACAACTCTATAATAATTAGGGTCAGCCTCGCACACAATTCTACTAATTAGGGGGGTTAATCTCACACACAACTCTATAATAATTAGGGTCAGTCTCGCACACAACTCTACTAATTAGGGTTAGTCTCGCACACAACTATATAATAATTAGGGTTAGTCTCGCACACAACTCTTCTAATTAGGGTTAGTCTCGCACATAACTATATGATAATTAGGGTTAGTCTTGCACACAACTCTACTAATTAGGGTTAATCTCGCAAAAAAATTTATAATAATTAGGGTTAGTCTTGCACACAACTCTATAATAATTAGGGTTAGTCTCGCACACAACTCTAATAATTAGGTTTAGTCTCGCAAAAAATGTAATAATACCGTATAAGTGGAAATTTTAGCGAGACGCAATTTTAGCGATTTGTCCTTAAAAACTGGTAATTTATTTTTAGCGAGATGTTATTTTAGCAATTCCAAAATGCACATTAACATTCTTTGTGCCGCGGGCCTATTTTGGGCCTATCTTCAAATACTACGTTGCGTGCCACGGGCCTATTTTGGGCCTACCGTTAGCTCATTTACGTCACAAGTAAAATTGATTGTGACGTTACGTCATCATTCTGAGTTTAGCGCCATTTTGGCCTCAATCATTTTGCGTTATACTGAAAATTTTATGTAGGAAGGAATGTTAAAAGGGTATTTCATTTGTCTTGGTCATTAGAAGAAGAAAATTCTGGTTTGAAATTAAAGAACTTTGTCTGCATTTTCAATCCTCGTTTGAACGATACAGTCAAGCAATCAAAATTCCATAGGGAGAAATTTCAAAATAATATTTATTTAGCCTATCTTAAAAACGGGAATAATTTACAATTACTCGTAAAAACATAATGTTTTGATCGTGGAAATACTAGTAATTTCTGAAAATATTTTTTAATCTTTAATCGGCATGATATATTATAAGATTTAACATTGTAACATCATTAAACATTAAAGCCTTGAAGGCTTTTTACGTAAAAGACTAAAAAAAGTTTTATCCTCGGGAGCATATCGAAGTGAATGAGTTTATTTCATGAATGCCACATAATGTAAAAAAAAAATCCACAAAGAGACAAGAAACTTTACAGATAAACCTATAAACCCCTCAATTTTTAGAATACATGTAGACAGTGCATGACATTGTCAATTGCCGGAAAAGACTGCATGCGTATGTCCATTGAACAATTAGGGCTATTTTTTCTGCAAGAAACGACTTTGACATAGAACCTCTGTAGGCAAGTTTATACGTATGTTCCCATCGAATTCAATCCATTCTGTTTGTTCAAAAGTCCAACAGAGATTTATTAATTTCTTTTAGGCATCGATTTTAATTGCCGACAGGGGAGGGAGAGGGGGGTCAAAATTTTTTCGCTTGCTTCTCCTGTTAGATTATATCTCACTATCAAATTAATGAAAGAATTACGGCAGGTATAAATTTACAATCAGAGAGCAGGCAAGATATTTTGTCTGTCGAAATTGGGGGCAAGTACCCCTACCCGCCACCCCCGCGCAAATACATCTAATATCTTGATTTCCTCGAGATTTCAACGTTACTTAAACCGGTAGTAATATACATGTACATGTATTATTTATTTTATTTTCCAAAAGCTATGCAAGCGATTTTAAAAAGAATAAGATATGTCAATTATAGCGCATGCTTCTTGATTTTTAAGGGCCTTGAAGGGTTTATACGCAAAGAACAAAAAACGTATTTGTTTGTTTTTTGTTTTATTTTGTTTTTTATTTGTTTGTTTTGAATTTTTTTTTTTTTTTTTTTTTTTTGGTGACATTTTTATAAATCAATATTTTAAATATATCATTACTATACAATGAGTTAAAATTATTACAGAAACAAATGACCATGATTTAATTAATAACATCTGTAGAGAAATAATGAAATAATTTTTTATACACCTAAACATCTTAACCTCTTTATTTGATTGATTCAAACAATCCACAGACTGCATCCGAGTTTCCGATCCAGGGTGAAAAGACGAAGATAACATACGAAGTAACTCACATCTTGGTCATGTATTCTATATTTTTTAGGAACACGATTACAAAATGCGACAGTATTACAATATCAACATAAACGTTAACAAATATAAAAAATTAATTGTCCAAATTAATTGTGTTTTTTTTTTTAAATTTCAGTAAAAACCCTATGCGACGTAAACGTGCGTGAAAGTAGCATGCTCTTTTATCAAATTAATATAGCTCTATATTTTATATAGAAAACAACAACAACAGAAAACACGAAACGTTTGTATATTTATTAGAAAATAGATATAATGTTTTTATCTGGAGAGTCTCAAGGAAATAGCGCGTTCACAATAGAACTTTTCTAACAATCCTCGTACAAGTGGTTCAGGAAAAGGAGTGATCGAGTGTGCAAAGGCCCGTATAACGAGGGGGTACTTTTTTCCGAGTTTAGTTTAACAGTAAATCTTTATTTAGATACACCCCTACCAATACACACACACCCTCCCTCACTTCTGGCATGTTCAAGGTTTCTTTTTTTCGGAAACGTTAACCAAAAACAAAAATCCACCCCCATCACACACATACGCACGGTATTGGAGACCGGAACATCAGAACAATTTAGGTTTTTTTTTAGAGGGGGGGTCAAGATTTTTAAAACCGCCTCCCCAGCGATCTTTAAACCATTTCTACTAGCCGGGATATAGTTGCAGAACTAGCTGTATCTCGCATATTCAGATTTAGTTTAAAATATATTTTATTCATATAAAGAAATGGATTGAACAGCAGGCATAAATGCCTATGATCGTTCTCTCCATAATAAAAATATATGCATATTCAGATTTAACATGAAAATCTAAGTTTTCAGTTCAAACCTTATTTTTGAAAGTGATTTTAGATTGTGTTGTGATAAAAATCAAACATGTCCTATGTTGCGAATTGAAAAGTTAAAATGTTGATGTCATGTCATTTTCATCGCCCCCAAATACTAGGGGCATAACAATATGTACATGTACTTTGCGATGTCTCAGCTAGCGCTAGTGGGTTTCCAATGTACGAATGTCGTGGACAATTACTAGTACCAGCTCCTCTCAGTCTCTTGCGAACAATTTGTGCACTTTTATGCTGATTTCTTCAACCAGCAATTGTAGCAGTAGTTTGTGCGGCAGTTCTCATTCAATCCCTAAAATGGGGGGGGGGGGGGGTGTTGTCTGACGGTCCTGTCTGGGTGTGGTGACCCGTTGACGGCCAGTTCTTGCTCTGTCATTCGTGTTCTTAGCTGGTGGAGATATACGTTAAACCGCTGCAAAGCCGATTGATGTAAACTATTTGCAGTTGCGACCTCCTGTTGCGTAGCTCTGGTTATCATCATAGTTAGCCCGTGTTGCGTTCATCTCTATTAAGGCGTGACATTGCAGCATCAACATTGTTATCAAATCTTAAATATGGGTTTGATAGGAGTGTTTTTTTTGTTTTTCTAAATCCAAAATATCAATGAAAATAGACATCCGATTTAAAAGAAATCTTCAAAAAGACTATTTTCATGAACATTATTAATCAAGGGAAATAATTCAACACTTTGGTTTAAAAAAACCGTGTTGTCCTTTAAATAGATCACAGGTATCCAATGATAAAAAGGGTAGTTGTTCTATATAATTTTTCAAAAAAATTTTGATGAGTAAAACAATATGCGTTCCATTATTTTTTTTATTTTTTGTTGTTGAGTATAAATGTATTATGTAAGGTCTACGTTAAAAGATATATATTATGGTATACAAACAGAAATGAACCTTTTTCAAGTACAATAGAATTTTCAACGATAAATCACGAAAACGTTTAAATAGTTATTTATGCATAACTGTGTTTCAATAACACTGCATTTATATATATTCAGTTTTACTCGTATTACGTTCATTGTTGTGCAATATATGGTTTGACCTATAGGTTCTTGACGTCACATAAAATTATTTTTCTTATTAAAAAAAATAATAATGCTTACCTACCTAATCTACTAGAAATATATTTGTGCATCAATTTTGCGTGAATTTTGTAAATATATATTTTAGAAGTGTTTTGTTGCAGAAATTTTTTTTTATTATCTGTATTTAAACAATTTTCTGCAAAAAGCGAAAGGCGAAAAAGTTTTTATATCTCTACCTACTTTGATTGTGACGTCAGAGTAACGTAACGTCATAGATTTAACGAAATAAAAAAACTGTCACGGCACTGTACGTAATTTGAACGCCAAATCTGTACGGCAGCGAAAAGGTTAAAGAAGCTATTACAAATAAAACGCAATTAATTTTAAGCAGTATTTAATTTTAGCGATTTCGGCACCCTCGCTAATAATGCTAAAATTAAATCCTCGCTAAAAATTCTACTTATACGGTATTCTGCGTCTACATGCGACTCGGTATTTTGGTTTCAATAAGTCATTCAAATCCATAATAAAAGTATACACATTCCCTAAATAAATAACGTAACTGACACAAAACAAATAAATTAAAGTATTTTCCCGTACAATTTGTCGTCGCTATAGAGAGTTTATTTCTGACGTCACGTTTACGCCGTCACGATAGCAACGACGTTAAAAGCTAAACACTATAACCTAGGTTTTTAAATAGAAATCACATTTGAAGTTAAGATAGAAAGTTTTTAAAAATGTAAATATAAGCAATGAATCATCACTTTTTTGATTGATATAGTTTCATAACTGCAATGTCGACGATGTTAACGATGTAAACAAGATAAATAGAAGGCAATGTTAACAAAATGTCGACTGGATATCAACCAACATTGCAATGTTGACGGTGTTAACGATGTAAACAAGATAAATAGAAAGCAATGTTGACACGATGTTGACTCGATATCGACCAGCATTGCGATGTCGACGATGTGAACGATGTAAACAAAGATAAAAAGAAGGCAATGTTGACACAATGTCGACTCGATATCGACCAACATTGCAATGTCGACGATGTTAACGATGTAAACAAGAAAAATAAGTAGGGCAACGTTGACACGATGTAGACTCAATATCGTCCAACATTGCGATGTCGACAATGTGAACGATGTAAACAAAGATAAAAAGAAGGCAACGTTGACACGATGTCGACTCGATATCGACCAACATTGCAATGTCGACGATGTTAACGATGTAAACAAGAAAAATAAGTAGGGCAACGTTGACACTATGTAGACTCGATATCGACCAACAATGCGTTGTCGACGATGTGAACGATGTAAACAAGATAAAAAGAAGGCAATGTTAACAAGATGTTTACATTATATTGGTAAACAATGTAATATATACAGATATAAACAAAGGTATTACTGTCATATTGAATATGTTATGATATTAGGAGGACTAGTATTCTTATAACGATGTCGACAATATCGAAAAAACATCGTGTACTGGACATACCTCTGTTGATGCAGATGAATAGCTTTCATCAGTGTTTCAACATATGAAGTTTGATAACACTCATTTAAGAAAAGTGAGGTCAAGGTCAAAGGAAAGCTCAACGTCAAAAATGTTGATGAATTGATTAGCTCTCATCAGTATGTATCAGCATATGAAGTTTCATTACACTATCTTGAATGGTATATTTAAAACTGAGCTAAACACTCATTTAAGAAAAGTGAGGTCAAGGTCAAAGGAAAGGTCAAGGTCAAAAAATGTTGATGTAGTTGCATAGTTCTCATCAATATCTATCATCCTATGAAGTTTGATGAAAATATATTGGATAGTTTCTTTGAAACAGAGCTTTGAACTAAGCTAAACGCAAACTGTGACGGAAGGAGAGACAGAAGGATGGAAGGACGGAAGACGGACATGACAAACACTATATGCCCTGGCCATATTCATGGCGGGGCATAAAAATGTTGTATGATATAGGCTATTTAAGATACACAAGGCCCAACTCCCATGCCATTTTAAAAAGTCCTCACCCTCTGACGACATACATAAAGACAACCGCGTGAGATTGAAATGCATATCAGACATTTACATGGGTGAAAGTTACATTCAGGTTAAATTATAGAGAAATCAACTCACCTAACGTTAAAAAAATTATCAAAGAGAAAGCAATTTGAAATATAAATATTGTGAGATCAAAACAATTGTAAAAGGTTTCATCATTAAATATTATCAAAAGTTTATTACATTTATTATATAAGAATTAACACTTCTAACAATCATAACTATAACAATGACTGCTATTTCAGTGAAAGTGGACACCGAAGACTGGTCAGGAAACTATGACTACAGGAACAGGTCGGGTAATAGTACCCCACCTCCTGCTGCCCCATCAAGATCAGGCTACATCTCCCGCTCAAGTGACCGCGGGCCTCCTCCTGCTGCCCCATCAAGATCAGGCCACAGCTCCCGCTCAAGTGACTGTGGGCCTCCTCCTGCTGCCCCATCAAGATCAGGCAACAGCTCCCGCTCAAGTGACTGTGGGCCTCCTCCTGCTGTGCCATCAAAATCAGGCCACAGCTCCCGCTTAAGTGACTGTGGGCCACCTCCTGCTGCCCCATCAAGATCAGGCTACAGCCCCTGCTCAAGTGACTGCGGGCCTCCTCCTGCTGTCCCATCAAGATCAGGCTACAGCTCCCGCTCAAGTGACTGTGGACCTCCTCCTGCCCCTTCAAGATCTGGGCAAAGCATCTACTTAAGATATAGCGGGCCTCATCCTGTTCCATCAGGATCCGGGCACAGAACCAGCTCAAGTTATAGTGCGCCTCAGTCCAGTTGTAACACTGCAGCATATCCTACTGATGTCCCTCATCACCACTTTATACAGTTGGGACATTACATCATGGACAAATTTCAACAACAGAAATTATGCGATATGGCCTTTAAAATAGGCCACAAAATAATTCCAGTCCACAAACTTGTGCTGGGTTCGCAAAGCCCCTTTTTTAACAATCTGTTCGAAGAGGAGGTCTTTTTGCAAGAGGCTGTCACGCCTAAAATTATCCGTGTATCAGGCGTGTCAGAGGAATCATTGACAATGTTTCTGGAGTTTCTATACTCCGGTACTATCAACTTAAAAACAACCGTCTTAGCCGACCTTTTGAAATTGGCACGTGTTTTTAATTTGCCAAAAGTCAAATGCCTTTGCCTTAATCATCTAAAAGAGGCACGCAGTGAGCAGTTGCTCGAAATTCTTCCAATAATGAGAGCCATGGAAGAGGTAGAGTACTGCGATCTTATCATGAGACGAATTGGGAAAAATTTCATCAATGTTAAAGAATTGCCCTCTTTTTTCGAGTTGGACGTAGATACTTTGTGTCTTATCCTATCACAAGACACATTGTCCACGGATTCCGAGTTTGACATTTTTTGTTCCGCCATATCATGGATCAACCATCACAACTTCGAATATCGAATGCAATATTTAGAAAAGATAATGTCTCATATTAGATTTCCTCTGATGTCTAGAAAGGAACTTTTCTGCTGTTTTAAATTATGTCCTGCATTAAAAAATGTCTCCAAAGTTGTGGAGATGATTGCAATGGCCAATTGGTAAGTATATAACAAAATAATTCAAATAGATACATTAACTGTATACTATGGGGTCAGGATTTCTGAATGAATCACACTTTTCAGTCTGTTTAATCTTCAAATAAAAAATTAGACAATTTATTTCCTAGATTAAACATTCTTTTGCCCCAAATGTACTTGTAGTATTTTCTTGGGTAAATTGTGAATGTTTGCATAGTGTAAAATTATACTCATGGAAAATCTTAAAGTAATGAGTGTAGTTATTTTAAATTTCCAAAAACTAAATCTTGATTGATAAACCTTTTTTCTGGACTAATCAAGGATTCAGACCTCCTATTCCTTAAATGAAGTTGATCCACTGGATAACCTAGTACCCAGGGAAAGGAACAACCTACACAGCAGTCAGAGTGTCAGCAGCTACATGAAAGTAAGCCATTGTGTTTACGTCCTTTTAGCTTAAAGAACTATATGCGGTATATTACATATATTTGCCCCCACAAAAGTCAAATTTTGAAAACTTCCTGAAATGTGCTGAATTCAATAAATTGTATGAGAAATATAAATTAACAGAAAATATTATAGTGTCAAAGCAGTGTATTCACAATTTTTGTTTTTATGACGTCACAAACTAGTCCGATTTTATATCCTTTTTCAGAAAGAGGACAAAATGGACAAAATTTCAACAATTTTAGCTTTAAAATTTATAGAGCGCATGTGTGTTCAGGAACAATATTGACATATTACATTGATATTATCATTCTACACATTATATCAAAATATTGATCCTGAACACACATGCGCTCGGTGACTTTTACTCAAAATATCGACGAAATATGTACATTTTTCTGTAAAATTCATAAAAAAACTGAAATTTACGTCATGTTTGTGACGTCATTACGTACATATGGCGTCATTACTTATGAAAATATTCAGTGCTTTGAAGTCAGCATATACTCCCCTGTTTAAGAACTTAATATAATATATATCCATCAAAGTTTGATTTGGGGGGCAAATACTGGTTATTACCGAATAAAGTTCTTTTATGCATTTGAAGATTCATTTTGGAGTGATCGAATTATTTGAAAGTAGCATTGATTTTAATTGTATATCATTTTTTCTTAATTTCTATCTCTTAATAACAGACCAACTGCAGTACTGACGTTGTAAATGAGCCAGTTAAGGTTGAGGTGAGCCAGATGCCCCCCAATTTGGTACAGGACTTCAACTCTCACGCCAGGATACAGAGTGCCAGCTTCACATCAACACACTCGGAGGATCGTGGCTTATATGTCACAGTGGAACAGCATGGCACCTCAAAAAGTAAGCCTGCATCTATAACTGTCTGTATTGATGATGAAATTAAGAATTAAACAGATAATGAGTTGATAATTCAAAATATTTATATCATTCTATATATTCTGCAAATAAATTATAGAAATATAAAGTTTTTACATGATTGAGGTCATCTCTGCATGGACAAATTGGTCTCAGATCGACCAAGTATAATGTTCTAAAAATTCAAAACATCTAGGAAAAGTACCCAATTGATTAAATTTGAAGCTCTACTGGTCAAAGACAAGGAGAGCTTATGCAATAGTAAGGTGTTTGTCTAGGTGTTTGTTTGTGTCTGGCTTCAATGTTCATTTGTCTTTCTGTAACAATTTTCAAAATGCTACTCCTCCTACAGTTTTGGTCTGATTTCAATATATCTTGGCACACAAGTAAACTACACTAAGATACGTAGTTCTCTTTATCAGTTTTTGATGTCAATAAATGATGTTGCCATGGTTATTTAAAAAAATCCTGTTAAATAAACTTCAAAAATACCCCGACTTCTACAGTATTAATTTCTCGACAGAGACTTCTGGATTATTATTTTCTATAATTTGACAAGCAAAAAGTCTCCATCTAGCATTCTATTTCATAATAGAATATTAGAGACCTGTTGATTGTTGTTGATTTTCACTAATTTACCTAGGCCCTATTTATATGGTTTTTATTTTTAATTTGTAGGTAAAACTTTTACACGCAGGAAAGTGAAAGATATTAAGAAAGAAAACAACAGGTATGTAATGTGAGGACTCTAATGATAATACAGTGAAAACATATTTAATTTATGAATTCCAGGACCCTGGATCATGGGTTCTGGTGTTTTGGTAGCATTGTGTTGAATTTGTGTTGAAAATGCATTATTTCTTTGAAAATCTTTTCTGCTCCTGTGCGTATCTGAGGGAAAAAGAGTAAAAATTTTATTAAGCTGGGCACTTTTACCAGATTTTTATCACCTGGACCATTTGGACATGTGTCCTGGTTCCTGAATTCTTTTAAGTACTAAGTATTCTACTAAGAAAAGTTATTCCCCTTTGCTTTTCACTTTTGATAACTAATCATTGTAAATAATGTATCTGAGATGTTTATGGAACAAGAGAATTATACAAGAATTCTTATTGTATACTGTAAATGTATTATTTTAGCGTGTACGATATGTAGCGGAAATTGATTTTTGAACGAGTTTGCGTAAATTTGATTTAGCGCATTTCTCAATGTTCTTATTTATGTATATCTGAGCAAGACATTTAGCATTGATTTCTTGAATTAGCGGAAGTTCCTTTCCGCCAAAAGCGCTAGAAAGAATACACAGCCAAATATTTCCATTTTTATTTTTTCTCTTTGATAACTCTTTGAAAGTTAGCGGAGTTCGATTTCTTGGTAATTCTACCAGAATGTTAATTAGGCAAGTCGATAGGTCAGGAGCTAAGGAGGTCTAATATGCATGCAAATCTTGTGCGAATCTTACTCTGTTTCTGACACTAAGGAGGCCAAATATGCATGTAAATCTTTTGCGGCTGCCTTTGTGTTTGACGTCAGTGGGCGTGGACTATTGAGATTGGCATTGGAGTCCTCGTGTAATTTAAATCTATGTCTACATTTTTAAAGTCTAAATCTACAATTTTATTTCACAATGAAATGGTCATATAAGGAACAAGTTGCTGTCCTTTAAAAAAGGACTACAATACGTGGACCATATGCATGTTTTTCTAACCGAAATTCAATTAAGAAAATATCTAGGTGTAGTGAATATTCATGTAGGTTTGTTCACATTTACTACAATGGTCTGCCTGCTTATGACTGGTTGTAGTCTCAAAGCAAAATTGTTAAATTTTATCTCCGATAACGGCCTTTAGTTTTGTCAGTTTAAAAAAATCGGGCTATTTTGATACATGTTACCCATAATGCCTTGGACTTGACACCTATTCTGGATTTATGCGGAAGAAATCTATCATGGAAAGAATATAGATCTGATTGTTAACGTGTACCACAGTTCTGAAGTATGCAGATTTTTTTGTCGGAGCCCCCCCCCCCTCCCCACACACACACATTAAAAGCCGTTGCTACAGACCTCTATCGAACGGTATTTGGATTACTGAAGTATAAAATTATTTTGCGAGCCTTGATGCACAAAACTAATGCCGGTGAAAACTTGTTCTTTCTTTTAAAAGCTAGAACTAGTCGTTGAATGACGCTTTTTATTCGAGTTGTTAAATTACAGGTATCTATATACTGCAAGTTCTTCCTCCTTCTTAAAATGCTTGTACAATAGAATCAATGTTTAATTTGTATATAAAAGTACGAGGGTTGTCCGTAAAGTTCGTGGACAAGCTAAAAATTTAATAAAAGTTGTGTCATTGATTTTTATTATTGACATATTTCTAATCCTTTACTAAATTTCAATTGAAAAATGGAAAAATTTATTCAATTTCAAATGTTTAATTATAATTATGGGTTCAAAATTAGACTTGGAATGGAGACCCGGAGCACCGCAAAATTTTAATTAAAAAAATATTTATCACTTTTAAAATTTCATTTGTATTTTATAAAATTCTGGGGAAGTCTAAAAGAATTATTACATTATTAGGTTAACAGAAGCTATCACGTCTAACCTGCAAAATTGAAACGTTTAAAGTTTCAAAACGGCTAAGCAATCAAAGTTAGAACATCTTAAGACAGGATCGGAATTGTTAAAAAAAAAAGACGTTTTCGGAATAGGTGGAGCAGTGAATAGTGATAAAGCTCTCCGTAGACATCGGAAAAACACCTACAGAGACTAATACATTCCGTAAACAATCGGGAAAACATAGTAAAAGAAAGTCGTTCACTAGTATTTAAGTGGTATATAATATTTTCGGACGGAATGAACAGTTTACAGGATGACAGCATGAAGGAAAACCATCATTCCGAGATTGTAGTGATGTAAAAAATGAATTTCGTAACGTGATCATGACTTTGCCGTATTTCCGTAAATATAAATCGTCTTTACACGGACAGTGGTTGGATGATTTTAGGATATATGAGACAGGCATTGTTAAATATTTTTTTACGAATGAAACCTGAACATTTTGTGCATATTTTTATGACTTGTCAAAACAACATCAGTAATTATTGAGTTAAACGCTGACTATGTTGAGAAAAGTTACATGTGCTCGTTTTTAGCTTTTGACGTCGGGTAACGTCAAAAATTTTCGTTTTAGTGCTCCGGGTATGAGTGTGTGTCTTTTGTGTATCTGATGAAATTATAACTAGTTGTGCTTTGTTTTTGTTGAAAACATGCATATTTATAAAATGAAACATGAATTTAATGAAAATAATAGTTTCATATATTTTGTCAATGGTTGTCAGTAATTATCAATGTTGTCCACGAACTTTACGGACAGCCCTTGTATATGTATAAAAGAGAAATTCGGATCCGCCAGTGAATATGTAAATGCGATATGCGGATTAAAAAGCGCAATTTGACAATGAATTGCATATTCTAATTCGAATAGGGCGAATTATTCTACGGGCAAGTTACCTAAAGTGCGAACTCTCTAGCATTCTCGCGCATGCGTAGCCTATCGTTTGCCCATGGCATCCGGTTTAACCTCGCTTATATATTTACTGCGTGGACCTCAGGGTCCACGCAATCACTGGTTAGATAGTGTAGTATGCCAGGGACATCAACGATAGCGGGAAACATGGAATAATTTATGCAAATTATCCCATGTTTACCACTATCGTTGATGCCCTGGCATACTATACCATCTAGACAGTGATTCCTTAAATATAATACGTTTACAGTATTACAGAAAAAAAAAATACTTTTATGGTTTTAATGATCAGGTAGACTTGTAAATAATAGATAATAAGATGAGACAAATGTTCTTCTAAGACCAAGGGAGGCTAAATGTGAGAGGTTACAATGTGGGATTTAAAACACTATAAAAGAAATTTATGAATTGACACTGAATTCTATAAGATTTATTTCCTTGATCCTGATCATCTTATCCCTCTTTCCCTCTTTCTTTAAGATAAGGTTCTTATAAGAATGCCTATTTCCCAGTCTTGTAATCCCTTGTATTTTACCATAAAAAGAAGGACATATTGCATGTTGCCAGCAGGTTTGTGGGATGACACTCTATTATGATTACAATTTTGGAAATTATTTTTAGATGGATATCTGCTAACAGGCTTGGGGTAATGCTAATTGTAATGGTAATGTATTGCAATGCATTAAATGAACGCAAAGTAATGCTAGTAATGTGTAATGCCCAAAAATTTGCATTACATGTAATGGTAATGGTAATGCATTACTTTATAAAATACAGTGCAATGCTGGCATTACATAGCATTACAAAGCATTATTTTGTATGTACCTATTTTAAGAAATTTAAATGGACATGGATGATAGAAAATTATTGTTTAGGTTATTTATTTATTTATTTTTTTGGGCAAATAATAAAATTGAATAAAAAAGTTAACCTATCTAAATAAATAATTTCTGTATCTATTTAAATACACATTTTATTCTGTTAAAAGCACCATTACCTTACATGTTAGTTTTCAAACTTATTTCAGATAAGAAATGATTTCAAAGAATTATATAAAATAGATTTAAAAGATTTTTTTAAAAATCACATATGAGATTTTATGTACAGTGTAAACTGATAATTGCCACCTTTTGAATAGCTAGAGTGTCATCAAAACACACTATGCCTCTGGGTTATGTAACAATTAAAACAATGCATTGTTTAAAGAAATGCTCCAAATTACCAGTCCCTTTCTCCTGACTGTGTTTATAAAACATTAATTAAGCTGGTCTAGCTTGTACTGACCATGAAAATTTTATTGCACCAAATAAATTAGAAGACATGCAGGCATTATATGATGAACAGATCAAAAAGTACATCCTGTCTAACCTTTTCAAAAAGTTTGTCAATGCAATTATTTTTTTTCATAAAGTACTAATAAAAATAGCCTATAATTGCTTTGTTATTAGATATTTTAGGCAGCTAGGGGTTAAAGTGCCCCAAAAGCTAAATTGCTTCATGACATAAATAGCTAAACAAAAAGTGGATATTTTACATGTGTTGTATAGCTGACAATTTAAAAATTGGAACTTTCTGTGAATGTAAGTTATCAACAATGTAACATATACAAAAACTTGAAATCAAATTTAAATTATTATTTATCATGTTTAGTTTTGAAGGGGGTGGAAACATACTTATGAAAAAAAAATCGCTAAGTTTTGTATAAATTTCTATGTTTAAAAACCTCCAAAAGTAATTGTAATGGTAATGCATTACTTTACTAAAGTAATGGTAATGTAATGCATTACTTAAAGAAAATAGATTAATGGTAATGGTAATCTAATGCCGAAATTGTTGAAGTAATGGTAATGTAATGCATTACTTTACAATGTAATTCGCCCCAAGCCTGTCTGCTAATCAGCCAAGAACAATAACTCTTCTAAAGTGTCGACATGAAATTTTGAATTAAAATTATTTTAATCAATCAATTTGACATTCAACCCTCAACGTCCCCACCCCCCCCCCCCCCAATGACCAAAACAATTAGGAAGGTATTCATTTATTAGCTGCAGATCTGTCGCGTTATGGTTTTATATATTTGTCTTTGACAATAACGCTACAGATCCAGTAATACGAAAAAGGTCAATTTAAGGCGCAATTTATTTTGCGCACTTTTGGGGAGAATTTCTCCACTTTCTAGCAATGGTCAATCATGCAACTACCTTTCACTCCCTAATTCTAGACACATTTTGAAGCCAATATTTATATTTTATCCACTCCCAACCATTTATAGTAGTCTTTACAGGCAATAATCTCGCTTGAAGTGAATTTTCAACAATCTAACAAATAATTCTCATCAAGCGAGTTTATCACTTGTAGAGACGACTATATAGGGTTGGGCGATAGATAAAATATACAGATTAGTTAAATAATGTGCTTAGAATTAGGGAGTGAAAGGTAGTTAATTGACCGATGCTGGAAAGTGGAGAAATTCTCCCCAAAAGTGCGCAAAAAATATTGCGCCGTAAATTGCATATTTTTTATTTTCTTTTTTTTTTGCAGTACGGGATCTTTAGCGTTATGGTCAAAGACAAATATATAGGACCATTACACGCTTAGTTTGGACTTTCAGTAAGGCGTGGCATTCTCGACGTTACCTAATTAGCTTCTGAAATTTACACAGCTTCCCTTGACTGTTGAAATATACATATGATAGAAATGCGGCCGAATGTCAACTGGTGTAGTAAAGAGCCAATTAAAAGTTCTCTCACGGCACAGAGGTGGAGCATAAGTCGTCTCTTCGTTTTCAACAACAAATTTAAGTTCCTGATGTTATTAATTTCTTAACCAATGAGAATCTACTAGTATTCGCCAGTACGTAGCGCCGAGAATGCCACGTCCTACGGAAAGTCCAAAGTAAGGAGAAAATCGTCCTAAAACCATAACGCTACAGATCTGCAGCTATTCATTTATATTCTTGTCAATTGTAAATCACTTTGTTGGACTTTGAACTACATACACTGTACGTAGAAGTTTGTTTATAAAGCAATAAAAATATTTAAATATTAACTTTAAATTATCTGTGAACTGATTTGGTTGCAACAATTAAGAGGTTAATAAACTTAATGAGCATATTTGTTTCACACACACTTTTGTACCGTGTAAATGGCTGGGGAATTAGCTGGTAGTATGCCACTCGGCTTTCTACTGTTTGCTATATCTGATGGAAAAGAGAAACAACAGTCATAATTTTTTTTTAATAAAAAAAGCTACCTGAATGTGATTCCTGATATGATTTTTATGAGCTTTTAATTTAATTACTTTAATGTCTATTTTAATAAAATTTTCTTTTGATAGGTTGCTTACTAGTAATACAGGTATAGCTGTTATGGTGCCTTTTTTTTTAACTCTGTTGGTCAGAGGCGTGAAGAACAACTAGTATACAGTGACAGTAATGTGTCTGTCGTCCTTCAGTCTAGCTGTCTATCTGTCTGTAAACAATTTTTCAAAATGCTACTCCTACATTTTTATCTGATTTCACCACAACTTGGAAAAAAATATCTGTATTGATTAATAAGATACATGATTTAGTGTATAGGTTTTTGATTTAGATGAACAGAGTTTGCCATGTTTACTAAAAATAGAATATTCTTGATTCCTTTAAAATGCTTCTCCTCCTACAACTTTGGCCTGCTTTTAATATACTAGTAACTTGATTCGCAGACAAACAGACTACACTAAATAATTTACCTGTTAATACATCAGTTTTAGATTTTGATTAACGGTAATGCAATAGTTTCAGAACTAAAAATAGAAATTGCTGTGTAATTCCTATATAATACTACTACTCCCAGAGGTTTGGTCTGATTTCAATATAACTTAGCACTCAAGTAGACTACACTAAGATCCATAATTTATTCCATCAGTTGTTGCTTTTCAATTTGTAAAACGGTGTTGCAGTGATTACTAAAAATAAAAATTTCTGTGAAATACTTCAAAAATCCTACTCCATATATCCTTCAACAGTTTCGATCTGTCTTCAAAAACATATTAAGTTAATGTATTGTGGCAACGCACTTTGAAAAAATTACGCACTTTGAAATTTTTTTTCAAAGTGCGTTAAAATTGTGACAAAATCAACGCACTTTGAAAATTTTTTTCAAAGTGCGTTAAATTTGGGACCAACTCAACGCACTTTGAAATTTTTTTTCAAAGTGCGTTAAGAGTTTACATCAATATATTTTATCATGAAGACGCTTAACGTACTTTGAAAAAATATGTAAAAATATTGGATCCCATTGGATTCAGATTTAAGTAATGGAAATATTTTATTTGTAATTTATTCTCAAAACACTTATGCATTAATTTACTCCCGTCGAGAAGAGGAGAAGACGGATAGAAGATCTATCTGTCCAAATCTTTATCATTCCAATAAATAGGCGTCGGTAACAAAAAAGGGGGAGGGGAGTAATAAACCCCAAAAAGGATAAGCTGCATTTTCAATGCTTATATGATGTATATCTTTCCAAAATATGTGGGGGGCTTAGCCCCCTCCTCTTGTCTTCGCCCGGTGTCAATGCCTATGCTATATACCCAAAAGTGTAATATGTATTTACATAATGGTATGACGTTGTAAACTTTCAATACAGATGAAAACTAAAAAAAATGTAACTACAGTAAAACGTATGAGATAGAAAGAACTTTCATACTTTTGAAAAATCAAATTGCCTCTTTTTCTTAAGATAAATTCAATGCTTTAAGTCGTTCAATTATAGCCCCCCCCCTTTTACATCTACCTATTACCTAGAATTTTTAAACAGAAACAAAATAATGATATTAAACAATTATCTCTCTATTTTTTCTAAAAGACCCATTTCCCTTTTATAACTTTTATCAAAAACTAAGATATTTAATATTCTATATCTCATGTCCTGAAGTGACCTCATCATAAGAAAAATTATCCAACCATGATCTATTATTTATCATACAGATTACTTGTGAGAACATTGATCAAGTTTTACATTTTATTTTCAAAGTGCGTTAACATGGTCGATATTTACGTACTTTGAAAAAAAAATTATTTTTTCAAAGTGCGTTAGCTTGGTCCCAAATTTTAACGCACTTTGAAAATTTTTTTCAAAGTGCGTAATTTTTCAAAGTGCGTTGTAAATGCATTAATTGGTTTTTGATTTAATGAACAGTGTAATCATGGTAGGCAAAGATAGATATTTTGTAGAAATTCTTTCAAAAGATTACTCCTACAACAGTTTTATCTGATTACAATAAATCTTGCCACAAAGAGACTAAACCGAGGACCTTTCTTCTATTTATTGGTATTACATAGATTCAACTGCAATAGCTATTCTTCTCTCCCTTTGTTACGAATACAAATCAGTAGAGCTACAGTCTCGACAGAACAGTCTTGACAGAGGATTCTGGTTTAATTTTTATTTTCAACATGTTGTTTTCTTGTATAAATTTACTTTGCCTTGAGATATTTTTGCACACGCGTTCATCTGCATAAGGTATGTATTATCTTTTACTTGATCTTTTTAAAGTCACGTATCTTAATAAGAAATTTCTAACTTAGTTTTTATCCTACAGTTAATTATCTTTGTGTTTTTTGTTTTTCGTGGATTCACAAAAAAAATCTGTTTCAAAATGAATTACTCTGAAATTGAATGAAATACTATACAGTAAAACACACTTATAGCAAACAGGCTTATACAGAAATCTCGCCTATAGCGAATTATTCTTAATTACCCGTGGTTTCAAAGGTATTTATCTCACAACTTAACAGAGAGAACGATTTATGTCTATATAAAGTAAATTATCCCTAGCAGTTTGCTTATAATATTATCATTTTTACTGCATGTATAATGGATATGCTTACCATTTTACACAACAAAATTTAATCTTGTCAAAACATAAACCTTTTGTTTGTTTGGTGTTAAACGGTTGCTTGAGAAATTTTCACTCATATAGCGATGCTAATACTTGCCGATGGAGGGCTGCAAATTTTGCACTTATGGTCTTTAAGTATTGAGGGATCTTTTTGATACCAACATCTATTTTGACACGGAATATCAGTTTATACTTGTACGGTCTTATCTGAATGTTGACTGGTCTCAACGTCCAAGAGTGGATTCGAACCCGGGACGTAAGAATCAACTTCTTATTACTCCTAAACGCTAGAGCACACGCTCTACTACTGCGCCACATGGACGAGAAATGTTTTTTAAAGTAGCTTTTACACATGTATATAGCAATATTCTAAGGTCATTTCCAAGCAGTTTTCAAATTTTGTTCAATAATCTCAGCTTAAAATTTGAATGGCTTATTGATATATTACTCATTAAGATACCTTTATATAATTTATGTACTTGTACAGGTTTCTTCATAATAAACGTCTGTCATTGAATGAATGAAATGAAACAAGTGTTCACTCATTTTTTTACTGTCTCATTTCTTTTGTTTACTTATTAGACGGGTAAAAAAAAACAATTGATACCTAAACTCCCTTTGTGTTATTATCGGACTCCTCCAGATAACTTTTGGACATTTAAATGGCAATGTTTTAAGTAAGATATATGCCGAATACTATTCTACATGTAAAATTATCAGACAGTTTTCGGCCCTAACGGGCCTCAAACAGTCTGATAATTTTACATATAGAACAGTATTCGGCATATATCCATTACAGAAAACACAAAATGAAATTATATAAAATGATACTCGGAGTTGAATCAGGTGGTTATAATAATAATTATTGCTTATTAATTTTTTACTTTTACCCGATCTCTACTGATATGTTTTGGTTTCCAGTGTTAATGAGATACAAGTCACTTTGTAAAATCTTCTATAAGTGAGCATCTGATGGTCCATTGATGTAAATCTTAATTTTTTTTATTCTCTATATCATCTTTTGAATCCTATAATGCTTACGTTTTTTTACATAGCTTGTAATTTTCTTTGCAGGAGAACTGGTAGAAAGATCCCTCAAGACTCTCCCTTATGAAAACTGTCTTCTCTGAATTTTTGATTCGTTAATTGTTATAAATTGTATATTCTCAGTTATTGTTAAAATTTATTTTATTTGTATTTTGTTTTCTTCGGTGTTTATTTTTTTTACTATCATATTTTTTTCATGTTTCTTTAAAATGCTTTAATTGTTATAAGTGAAAGTAAGAGTTAAAATTTTTTGTAAAATATTAAAAGACTTCTGCATACAATTAGGCTTTTTTTTCTTGTTTCTTACATGTAGTTACTCGTCATTAACATTTCTCCTATGGACACATCCTGTGTTCGTACGTGGCTTAAATTGAACATTTCTATCTTTTACTTTTTAGCTGAAAGCCCAAGTAAGTATTTTCTGAGCACATTTTTGTAAATAGTTCATATTTTCAACTACTGCGTTAGATATAGAACCACTATGCCAATTTCGACCAAACTTGCAACAAAGCATTTTTGGTTAAAGGGGTTTCAAGGTTATTCAAATAAAGCGACATACCCTTTATGAAGGGGATATGATTAAAAATTATGTTTTTAAAATCCGTTTTCTCAAAAACCATTTAGTAAGAGCTTAATCACAAAGTACTGGATTCACACATTTACATAGTATACATGTAAACCAATTTTAATGTATAATATTTTATGAACTATGCTGTATAATCTATGCTGTGATGTTAATAATAAACATCAGGTATGAAAGCCTGTCTCAGGGAAAATGTTTTTGTTAACTCATCTAAGTCATAGGGCAAGTCAGATTTTCTCATAAAAGTTTGTTTAACTTTGTTCCATTTAAGTTAACATTGAACAATTAAGAATCTGTACTACCCCAGGTGCTTTCACTTACTTTTAAGCTTTTCTGGCCCAGTAGTTCTTGCGGAGATTTGAAAAGATTTTCCTAATCTGTTTATATTTCAATTGAAAACTTGGATTTCCAGTTGCAGCCCCATCCTAAGTTAACGGGGGCTATGAGTTGAACAATAGAATTAACTTTACCCAGGTATATTTCACCTGTATTGCTTCTGCTTTTCTGGCCAAGTGGTTTTATTTGAGATCTTTCAAGTTTTTTTTTTCTATCTATATTTCAATGTAAAACTTAGAATCCCTATTGCGGCCCAACCTACCCAGGAGGCTACGATTTGAACAATATATTTAGAATCAACTCTACCCCCAGGATATTTTTATGAAGATTTTTCCTATATATATTTCATTGTAAAACTTTGAATCCGTATTGCGGCCCTCCCATACCCTGAAGTCATAATTTGAACATTTTAGAATTTACACCACCCCAGGATGCTTCCACATAAGTTTCAGCTTTTCTGGCCCAGTGGTTCTTGAGAAGAACATTTTTAAGATTTTCATATATTTCAATGTAAAAATTGGATTCCTTATTAGTGGCCACGCCCTACCCCGGGGGTCATGATTTTAATAATTTATAATCTACATTATCCCAGGTTGCTTCCACATAAGTTTCAACTTTTCTGGACCATTAGTTCCTGAGAAGATTTTTAAATGATCCCATCCTATTTTTGTCTTTTCCCTTTTACACATTTTTGTACCAATTTTAGTTATAATTGGCCCTTTGTTCGGGTCAAGTACAAAATAAGACGAAAATAGTCCCATCCACATAATCTGCAGTAAATCGGTTTTGTTATTAAAATATTTTTGTAAGATCATAAATATTCATATATAATTATATAAATTATATTCTAATATAAATATATGAACAAAACATTTAATGCAAATTACTTTTTAATGAATATTAAACAAATGAAATTGTTTTCAGAACAACAATTTGAAAGGTCGACAGGTTGACAGGTCGACAGGCTGACAAGTCGACAGGTTGACAGGTCGACAGGTATACAGGTCAACATTTTAAATTAAGAACAACAATTTGACAGGTCGACAGGTCCACAGGTAGACAGGTCAACAGTTTAAATGAAGAACAACAATTTGACAGCAGGTTTGACAGGTCGACAAGTCGACAGGTCGACAGGTTGACAGGTAGACAGGTTATATCATAAGATACATGTATATTGAATGCCTGAAAGTCTAAATTTTATTCTCATTATATATGCGCAGTGTCTGATAACAGTTAGATATATATACATCTCCATTTGACACAGAAACCAAATTACCTCAACAATGTGTATTATGCTGACTCATTTTACTATAAATGAGCTGAATATATAAATTGTCAACACGTCTTATTGTCAATTAAAAATACATTTGAATAATGTTGTCAACCAGATATAAAAGCACATTTATTAACAAATTTACTTTCAAACTTCACAGTATTATTTATGTCAACCTGTCTACCTGTCGACCTGTCGACCCGTCGACCTGTCAACCTGTCGACCCGTCGACCTGTCGACCTGTCAACCTGTTTAGCAGACATGTAAGGATTTTTTTGAACAAATGATATTTTATGACTTTGAAATATATATTTACACTAATGTCAACCTTAGTAGCATTTATGATAATGTCAACCCGTCTGCCTGTCGACCAGACATAGTAGCATGCTTATGAACAAATGTTCATTTATGACTACTAAGTGCACATTAAAATTTATTGATACTTAAATAAAATCATATGTAAGATACAGATCTTGTTTCGTACTTTATGATCCATTTTATATAATAATTGGTTGACAATATAGAATGCAATTGGTTTATATAACTAATTTACCAATAATGGCCCCAAATATTCATTAATATTCACATTTGATTCATATGCAAAATATGGTAGGGGGTTCAGGTAAAAATTATCGATGAGATATATTCAAATAAATATATTCTAGCACGAACATGGACACATTAAGAAATATATAAAACTTTACTTGGTGAAAAAATTCCAAGTAGAACAGAAGTTATGAAATTATCAATGTTGTGAGTACTGCTGTTTTATGCAAGAAAATTGAGCTATATAAGGTAACTAAATGATGGCACATAAAAGGAAGAAAAATCCGTTAAATCTGGGTAATTTTTTAAAGATAGAGTCTAGTTTTATTTGGAAATATGGCAAACTATATATTTTCGGAAAGGTCTATGCAAGCCCTAATTTTCTGTTTCCACGCCAGCTTAAAAAAATCCAAGATGGCGGCAAAATATTCAATATGGCCGCCAATAGTAAAAATGGCCAACTCAGACTTATTGATAAAATGCTTTCAAAATCATGTAAGCTAGGAATAAATAATGAAATTTTATTTATTTTTCACAATTTATTTCTTATAAAATATTTATAAAGACAGTAATCTTATCAAAATATGGTCACTAAACGACAGAGTTCTGCCTGGAGATCACAAAGAAGAAAGATGTCAATATTATGAAATTGGCAAAGACTGGGGAAAAAGCATTTACTACAGTAAATTCACAGCTTTATTTTGAATTTATATAGATCTTTAAAATACATATAAAATTTTCTGCCTCAATTACTAATTGTAAATATTCAGTCTAAATTATCCATGCTTCCTGGACAAGTTGAATGTTAAGTTCCTGCTTAAACTTCCAGCGGGTACCATAATTATGATATGGAAAGATCCTAGCATTTTCCCGAAGTCTAACTGTATATTCTCACTGAAAAAAAATTAACCACAAAGTATATCATGTTCATAAAAAAATTATAAATATTTTTTACAGTTATCAGTAAAACAATAAATAAACATTTTCTTTTATCACATTAGAACTTCGGGTTATGCTACAGTAGTTAAGAATTCAGAGAAAATCCTGGTTACAGAATCAAATTTGTACATTTAATGATTTATTTCAGGGACCATCTGTTATAGGTTCTTTTTTATATGTAGTAGGTAATGACCATAGTTTTCATGGATTTTTTTTTCCATAAAGTCTAAAATTATTTAATCTCACATTTTCTATTTTCTCTTGTGATCTAACGATACAAACTATGCATAAATTTAAAGGTACTTAGAAACTGTTCAAAAGTGCGCGTCGGGTGACGACTTTTGAGTGGAATCCGGGTGAATTAATTTCGGAAATGATTACAGAACCACAAAATTCAGATGCGAAATTTTCTCAGCTTTCTAATAGTGTATGTTGCATAAAAATATTCCGATTACTTACCGTAGTAAAATTGGCCTCCTTCCTTTGAAACGAAAATACATAAACTTCTGCACATTGCATTAAAATGCAACAATAACAATATTAATCTGCAAAATGTAAGCTTTCCTGTGATATGTCAATGTCGTCAATTCCTTAAAAATTGTCTCCCGGAAAGCCAATCAAAATGACGCTATCAACGCCGCGGAGACAAAATTACAGTGCCATGTATCAAAGGGAAAACCCCGCATTTAATTTTAGCACAACTTCGACTCGGTTAATTTTTATTACAAACTTTTCATAATGACATAACACACACATCTTACGAAAGTTCAAACAATGTAGAAAAAATTCATTATACTTAATTTTTAGATAAATATGAATAATTATGCAAAAATTACGTTTATAAACACCAATAAATTGCGTTTAAATGGCCCAATTACATAGCTAACTCGGGTTACCTGAACCCCCTAAATATGGTAATTTATTTTATTTTATACATTTATGAATATTGATGAATATGCAAAAAAAATATTCTTACGAGAAAAAAAATTGGAACTATTTTCGTCTTATATTGAACTTGAGCCATTTGTTCTTGAGAAAAAGTTGAAAATGTTAAAAGTTTACGGACAAACGGACAGACAGAAGGATGACGGGTGATCAGAAAGCTCACTTGATCTTTCAACTCAATTGAGGCAAAAAACGTGAAACATCACGGACTATACATCTAAACATGTAGCAAATAGGGAAAGCACTTAAGGCTGGAAGTCAATATCTATCCTTTTAATTACAAATAATAGGAAATCTGATGCGCATCTACATAGAACATATGAAGTCACAACGGTTTACCGTACGTGTACTTGAGAACTGATGACTTGCTGATTGGGTATATGCGTGTAAAAGTAAAATAATAAAAGACATCGACATGCAGAGCATTTTTAGCTTTTAATCAATTGAAGACAAAAACAAATGTATTATGAAAACGGCAAATTATTCACATCTATTCAATTTTGAATCATATACGTTTTGCAAGTTTATGTGTACATTGACACATCTTCAAAATGATTTATAATAATGTTTAATTTTGCTCCATAT